GCAAGTAGATTAAATGTATCAAAAGGTGTTTCAATTCTAACACAATATATATTCACTTTACACAGATAATTATGAAAACATGTACAGGTACAGACCAACTTTGGTCCAAATTGAAAACATTCTTATGCATAGATATATATTTACACTACATACATGACATAGGTACTTGTATAGAAATGTGTATAGATCTTCTTACAGATGTGCCTTAAAAAGATTAAAAATCATGCATTATAACAGAAAATACATTACATGTACAAAAAATCTCTGTATATGTATGCTGTCCTTCAAAGACTTTTCAAAAATAAAAATTAGTAAACTTTTGTCTTAATTCTGTCCAACAAAAAAAACAAAAATCTTTTGTTAATATGACTGATGATTATCACAGATCTTTCATTCATAATGCTTTTAATAATTAAAACAAAACAGAACAACAACTTACAGTTTGGTTAATAATTTTCCATGAAGGGTTAAATTCAATGCTTGAAATATTTGATACACCGGATGTATCAAAATGATAAGAAAATTCAATACTGTAATTAGACATATACACGTCTGCTGAAATTTCTACACTATATTAAACAATGTAGGTATCAGATAGTCATATACTTTGCACCAATATTCAAATTGATAGATGATAGGTTGTATTGTACAGTCACGAAAAATGTAATAAGCAAAGTCTCCAAAGTGGCCACTGATGGTTTACACAGAAATTTGACACTAACAAGTATGTCTCCCTGGCTCCCTCCTATCCAAGTTACAAAAGAACAGGATTACGAAATAATGTCAAATTTGAACACTTAATATATTCACATGTATTCTATTAATCAAACCTATTAAGTTTCAATACATTTCAATACATTTCAATCATTTACATCAATTACATGTAGGTAAATGTAAAACATTGTCAAGCTTCACCTTACATGGAAATAAATTCTGAATGTGTCCATAGGACACAGATGATGCCCCTGCTTGCATTTAACATTATAAAAGGACATAACTCAAGAACGGTAAAAGTGACGCCACCCAAATTCAACTTGATCTGAGTTTTGTGGTAATAAGCATTGTGTATAAGTTTCATAACATTTGGTTGAGTTAGAGAACGGAAACAAAATTCAGCAATTTTTCCATTTGTAAAGGGGCATACATGTTCTTGTAGAACACAAAAAGTGACATACTAAAGTTAGAGAACGGAAACCAATTTTGGGACATACGGACGGATGGAGGGACAAGTGTAACACTTAATGGCCTTAATCACCAAAAATTTAAAATTGTTCTAAGACCTTATACTTTTTGTGCATTTGTTGAGCATAAAAAAACATTTTGCTAGGAAAGACTGAATAATGAGGGTAGGAATGGCTTTTCACATCAAGCTTCAAGCAGTGTCTTCCCTAGAAAATTTTTCATGCATGGTGGGTCCATGGTAAATTTGCGCGTGCGACGCTTCTTTTTCAGAAATAGTTACACTACATAATTTATATGTTTAAAGCCATATACCAATCTAACTGTTTTATTATAGGTTTATAGGTACAGCAATTCATATAATTCATTAAAGTATTCATTACAGATGAGAGGAATTAATGAAAGACCTTATAAACAACAATAAAAATAATCCAGTCTGCAATAGTTATTTACAAATTAATGTCATGTACACATTATTTTGTTGATATCTTCCTCTGTTTCAACTTTCCAAAGGTCACCACACAGATTTCAAAATCAAAATCTTCCTCCTTTGGTCCTTCAATTGATATATGCATTAAAGAATTCATCACTTTTTGGCATTGTCTGTTTCTCAAAGGTGTTTTAACTCAGTTTAAACATGAAAAACACCTTTCACAATCAGCTGTTGAAACTGGCAAAATAAGACCAATTGCTGCATACTTAGATAGACAAGGATACAAAGTTCCAAGACTGGCAACTTTGTTCATTGTCTGCCTAAATGTCATGTCTTTACATTCTTTCACTAACAGTGTCCTCAGTTTGCTGATAAAATGGTTTCAGCATCAACAGCAAGTTGTTAAATAAAACTTTGAATGTCATCATTGATTCACAGAGATTTTACAGGAAACAATAAAAATAAATGGAGAATGTGTCCCCATGGACACAGATGATGCTCCCGCTTGCATACAACATTATAAAGGGACATAACTCAAGAACAATAAAAGTGACGCTACCCATATTTGTACTTGATCTGAGTTTTGTGGTAATAAGTATTATGTAAAGGTTTCATAATGTTTGATTGGGGCAAACTTAAGTTACAGAACAGAAACTAAAAATTTTGCAATTTTTCGATTTATAAAGGGGCATAACTCGATACTGATTAAAGTGACGCCACCAAAATTCAACTTGATCTATGTTTTGTGGTAAAAAGAATTGTGTATATATAAGTTTCATAACATTTGGTTGAGGCAACTTAAGTTAGAGAACAGAAACTAAAAATTTTGGATTTTTTTCCATTTATAAAGGGGCATACCTCGAGAATGGTTAAAGTGACCCCACCAAAATTCAAACTTGATCTTTATTTTGTGGTAATAAGCATTGTGTATAAGTTTCATAATATTTGGTTGAGACAAACTTAAGTTAAAGAACAGATACTAAACATATTGCAATTTTTCCATTTATAAAGGGGCATAACTCTAGAACAGTTAAAGTGACGCCACCAAAATTCAAAGTGATCTGTGTTTTGTGGTAACAAGCATTGTGTATAAGTTTCATAACATTTGGTTGAGGCAAACTTAAGTTAGAGAAAGGAAACTAAAAATTTTGTAATTTTTCATTTATAAAGGGGCACAACTCTAGAACAGTTTGAGTGACGTTACCAAAATTCAAACCTGATCTGTATTTTGTGGTAATAAGCATTGTGTATAAGTTTCATAACATTTGGTTGAGGCAATCTCAAGTTAGAGAACAGAAACCAATTTTGGGACGTACGTACAGACGGACAAGAGTAAAACTTAATGCCCCATCCGCTACGGCTGGGGCATAAAAAGTTTATTTGCGTAAATTTCAGAAGTTGTCAATGAAGAATACCTGACATATGGACATACGGATGACATATTTGGCAATTACCTGTTTGGAAGCTAAGCTGAAATTTTATTTCATGACAATTAACTATTTTTTTTAAATACATCCCTGTCTGATTTATTTATTATGCTTCATAATTGTAAAAATCCTGTCTTGCCGAGGTGAACGAAATTTAGCCCCACTTGTGTAAAAAACGTCAAATGAATCCGCTACACTTAAGCTTGTAACCCATTGAAATAAAAAATAGAACTACACAAGTTTAATAAAAACAATATTTCCGAAAATAACTATGTATGTTTTGAAAGTTTTTCTATCAAATCTTTTAAATATTTCATAAGACATGTCTTTTTCTCGGCCTGTTGGCGGTGATGTGTATTCTTTGATATAAATCAATCAACCGCGACTAATCTAAAAATAACTGATTGTTGTGACCAATCAAAAAATAATTCATCGATATAAATATAGCTGATGAAAAACTGTGAACGTTTATTAAAAAAAAAGTTTTGTCCAATCTCGGTGAAATTGTGTTAGTTTTATTTTATAATACCAAATTTTAAATTTCTACTTTTAAAAGATCACAGTAAAATAACGATGTCAAACACCCGTTATAAGGTGAAATTTAAAATGGAAAAGGTTAAACTTTTTATTTAGCACAGAAAGATATGCATAGGAGATTTATCCGACTATTTATTTATCAGCTAACTGGCAACTTTTATTATGTAACCGAAGTCTCGATGTATAACCAACTAATCAAGAATTTTGTATAATCCCGGCACGCGCGACGTGATGCATCCAATTATTAGTTTGATGAGTTTAAAACACCTGTGGAGTGTTGTCACTTGTCATTTCACTTTCAAAATATCGATAATAAATATTTTACACAGTTATAATTTTCACACATAGCGGGATGCATTGCAGCAATGATGAAAGCATGGCGGTCGAAATTTATGTATAGCGGTACTGCAATGCTTGAATAGCCTAAGGAAAACACTGTTCAAGTGCCCTTTTTTCCTCTACTGTTAGCATCAGATGACCCTAAAGTATCATTAGCATCAAATAGTATTAACTATTTATTTTTTACGCTATTCTAAGCATAATTTATACATGAATGATAATGTCTTGTAGGGTACCCCTTTTCCAACCTCAATACATGACCTTCCAATTGCTGCTATTTCTGGAAAAATTTAATGACATAAAGCAATTATTTTAACGTTGTCCTATTATTTCCCTTAATGATCCCAGGTCCAACGGGGCAGTTAATTTATAATATCAAATGGAATCTCCTTCTTCATGTTCTTACACCAATCTTGAGTTGTTTTTTAGAGAATTAGTCCACAGGACAATAATGTAAATGACGTCATTGAACAATCGGTTATATTGTGACGTAATAAGCATTGTGACATAGGAAATGTAACGGAAAGTGCAGATTTTCAATAGTTGTCTAACATGTGTATTAGTACTATTACAAATTCTGAGATTCGAGCAAAATATACCAATCAAGGACATTGACCTAGAAAGCTGAAGGATACAGGGATCCATTTTACCCATTAAATGAGTATATGAAATCAAAAATCAGTATAGTTAAATATTTTGTTCTGGTTATTGCAAATATATATGAATCAAGCGTATAATTAAACTATAGTTACCATCCCTTTGGCTTTAGAAGTTTAGTGCTGTAGCCAGTGTAGGAGTTTTAAGTGGTTTGGATGGTGAAAAATCTAATTTTTCAAAAGACAATATGAGATTCAATATCTTACCACATATTTATATAGATTTTCAGTCCATTTTCTCTCTAATTGTTTTTCTATTTTAAGAAAATCCAGAAAACTTCGATATGTTCTATGTTGCTGATCTAAAATTCTACACCGGAAGTTGATATCTGTGTCAGCATTCAAGGTTCCAAATACGTTTCAAATATAGTATTTATCATTCAAGCGCCTCTATGACTATTTTTAAGGCTTTTAAAAAAAAAATCAGAAAAAGTGACTGTCATAAAGTGATAGATTTACATTAAGTCAGCTGCTGTGCCTTAGAAATGGAATCTGTTGATATTTATGGTATTGCTATTTTAGATTTGAAATTGATAACACTAAACTGACAAACATTGAAATTTCAACCAAAGATGAAGAACTGGATCTTCCATCACTGTATTGGATACCTAAACTACATAAGTGTCCTTCCAAGTGCTCCACGAAACCTCTTTCTAAATTAATAACATCTATTTTAACAGCAATCAAAGCCGGGCTCCAAAGTTATTGTGAAACTGCCTATTCTAGAGTAGAGGTGGTGTGAATCAGATGTGGATACTAAAAAATTCCAAAGATCTTTTAGAATACATACAATCTAAGACTCTCTCATCTTGCAATAGTATTAAAACATTTGACTTTTCTACTCTTTACACAAGTATTCCCCATTCCAAACTAAAAGACAAATTGAAAGAGTTGGTATTATTTTGTTTCATGAAAAAGAATGACGAACGTAAATACAAGTATCTTGTCTTGGGGAGGGATAAATCCTACTTTGTAAAGAATCACTCTGATTCAAACAAAAAATTCTCTGATACTGACATAATCAAGATGCTTAATTTCTTGATTGACAACATATTTGTTATGTTTGGAGGACATGTTTTTCAACAGACTGTCGGAATTCCAATGGGAACCAATTGTGCCCCTCTTCTTGCAGACTTGTTTCTTTATTATTATGAGGCTGACTTCATACAGGAACTTCTTAGGAAGAAAGATAAGAAGTTAGCAATATCCTTTAACTCTACGTTCCACTATATAGATGATGTTCTCTCACTAAATAATACAAAATTTGGTGACTATGTTGAACGAATCTATCCCATTGAATTATAGATAAAGGATACTACAGATACAGTTAAGTCTGCCTCATATAAATTGACAATGAGGGTCGGTTGAAAACAAAACTTTACGACAAAAGAGATGATTTCAGCTTCCCAATTGTGAACTTTCCATTTCTATGTAGCAACATTCCAGCAGCGCCTGCATACAGAGTATATATCTCCCAATTGATACGAAATTCCAGGGCTTGTGTTTCCTATCATGATTTCCTTGATAGAGGACTGCTGCTCACAAGGAAGCTATTAAACCAAGAGTTCCAAATGGTGAAGTTGAAGTCATCCCTTCGTAAGTTTTATGGACGCCATCACGAGTTGGTTGACCGTTATGGAATAACCGTTTCACAGATGATATCGGATATGTTCCTTATGTCGTAACAACAATACCCTCCCTTTTCACGAATGTGACTTACCGAATTAGACTATTTACCGGATTTGTAATAACATAAGCAACACGACGGGTGCCACATGTGGAGCAGGATCTGCTTACCCTTCCGGAGCACCTGAGATCACTCCCAGTTTTTGGTGGGGTTCGTGTTGCTTAGTCTTTGGTTTTCTATGTTGTGTCATCTGTACTATTATTTGTCTGTTTGTCTTTTTATTTTTGGCCATGGCATTGTCAGTTTGTTTTCGATCTATGAGTTTGACTGTCCCTCTGGTATCTTTCGTCTCTCTTTTGAAACAAGAAAAAGAATAGTCCAAAACTTGTAGACCCTTACATGTAAAAATTTAATGATTGTGTACTGCTTAACAAGTTACCTTTAACTGAGTATTAGAATAAATTTAGTAACATTTTAATTCAATAAAAAAAATCATGAACTTGTCTATTGGGAAGATTATTGAGTTGTATTTTTTACCAGAACAAAATTCTCTCACTTGGAAGAGGGGTTTCGGTGGCTGACTGGTCTGAGTCGTCAAACTAATGTATCATTAGCATGTCAACACTGAGGTTGTGAGTTTGAATCCTGCATGTGGCAGATGCACTGGACTCCAATCTTAATTGACAAGGATTGTGTTTTCCTATTGAAGGTTGGTGGTTTTCTCCATGCACTCCGTCTTTCTCCACTAATAAAAACTGACTGCCAGGAATTCGAAGTAGCATAATAGTGGTGAAAGTGGCATTAAACAACAATCAATCCTTTACAAATGGAAAAATTGCTGAATTTTTTCGTTTCCGTTCTCTAACTTACATGACTTAAATTGAAACTTATAGCCGATATAATCTAACCTTGACCTCAACTTATAGTTTGAATTTGGGTTGTGTCACTTTTACCATTCTTGAGTTATGTCCCTTTATAACATTACATGCAAGCTAGGGCATCATCTGTGTCCCATGGACACATTCTCCATTTAACAAGGAATTATTTGAATCTGGAATAATTTTGAATTCTGGAATCTAAAGAGGGTTAGCTATGCACGCATGGCTAAGGTTAATTTTTCTTTCACTTATATTTAAACATGAACAATATAAACCCCCTTAACCATGCATGGATGGATAATCCTCCTAAATTGGGTTAGTTTTCAGCATACATTATCAATTTTCCAGAATTCAAAATTATTCAAGATTCAAATAATTGCTTGTTATTTAGTTTTTTTTAGATTACCTCGATTATTCATGAGGACCTAGCATGGCCGTCTACCTAACTGGAACATATCTTTATCATTTTTTTATTGAATTTGATATCTACAACTGTATAAATGAAAAAATATTTAGAATTCGAATGGATTTGTTTTTAAACAACCGATGAAATAACAAATAACTTTTTATAGTGAAGGACACATTTTACCATTTTTAAAATATGAACATAATTCGGCGCTTATGAAATGGACATATTTCAGAGTCCTACACCATCTAGTCATGAATTGGCATTTAGTGATGTCATATTGGCATGTTTTGGGGATTGGACATTATTGAGGGAAGGACACATACCTGAGTGTTGCATTTATATTCAGTTGAAGTACCATACATCATTGTTTTCATGAAATAGGCCTAAACAGTGGCAGATCCAGAACTTTTCATAAGGGGGCCCACTGACTGACCTAAGGGGGGGGGCCGCTTCAGTCATGCTTCAGTGATTCCCTATATAATCCCCCCCCCCATGGATCCGCCTATGCTAAACAATAAAATAATCTTGTTTACCAAAACAATTATGAATTCCTTGCACAATTTCTAATAAAATAAAAAGTAAGCTGAAATATGAAAATGATCAGGATGTTGGTCATACTGTTTATAGGCATTTTATTAATGATGTTTGTTTTTATGTAAACAAAGGAATGCATTTTTAAATTTCAGGTAGCATCTTTGTCTTGCCTGCGACGAAAGTCACTGTATGCCAGTCATCTTAGGCCCGAGAACACAGTTATTTCTTAGTGCATTTCTTTTAGACAATAAATTCAAATTAAAAAAATTGTACCTGCTCTATCTCAAAAAGATTTTTACAGTGTAGTGTACTACTATTGGGACAAATAATATCAAAATTATAGAAAAGTCTAAAGATTCAGCACCCAAATTTTTTTAACATGTAATTTCATCCCCTTACTTAATATTTCATGCATGAAATATCAAGAAATAAATTGGGAAAGTATATGAAAAAAAATTGCAAGTTATACACTGTTTACACTAGGGACTATATTCATAGACACCGAAAACCAAAGGACGATAACTGTGTCCTTGGACCATAGGGATTACTAACTGGCGTCAGTGTAAACTATTTGTATGAAGCTTTATATTTCAGAAGGTAGAAGACCTGGATGCTTTGTCATGCAATAGAAGTTCCTTCATAATATAAGTTCCAAGTGTCAGAAATATTCTGTATTATTATTTCAACTGGGACAAATATTACAGTATTTGTTCTTAACAGAATAACGATATAGAATATTTGTTCTAACAGGAACAGATATTACAGCATTGTTTATAACAAAGTTCCCAGGGGAACTTCTGTTAGTCAGAACAAATATAAGTTGACAGCTTTATACCTTGTAAACAGATATCTTATGTTATGAAGGTTCTGGCTGTCATATGTCCATTGTCCTTGACCTCATTTACATGGTTCAGTGACTGCTTGAATAAAATTATAGTTATAATTTTGTCATGTCAATTTCTCACTTGTTATGAGTACTAGGATAACTAATCTATATTTGGTATATTGGTTCCTTGCAACATCTTCATGTCTGTCAGACAGGATTCACCTGAACTCGACCTCATGTCATGGATCAATTATCAAGGTTATATATAATTAAAGTTCAAAGTGATTAGGTCAGTTTCTCAGATATTATAAGCTGTAGATCAAATTTATGTGGTAAATGGAATGATTGTAAGGGGTACATGTCATTCTGGCATATTTCGTCTGACCTTGACCTAATTTTCATGGTTTACTGATCAATGTTAAGTTTTTATATGTCCGTTTATGGGACGTATTATGGTATACCGTTTACTATTTGTCCGTCTGTCTCATTTGTCTGTCCGTCCGTCTGTTTGTCCGTCCGTCGTCAACATGTCGGACATTAACTCAAAAAACCTTTAACCGATATGAATGAAACTTTGGTGAATTGTTTATATTTATTGACGTGAGCTCCCTTTCGTTTTTTATAAATTTCAGATTTACTGTTTCCGAGTTTTGGGGTTTTATTCATTAAAAAAGGGGGATTTTCCTGTTTTCCGACAATAACTCAAGAATGCTTTCACCAACTTGCAAGAAATCTTGGTGAATTGTTTATATCTATTGACATGAGCTCCCTTTCGATTTTTATAAATTTTAGATTTTTCGTTTCCAAGTTACAGTGTTTTATTCATAAAAAAAGGGGGATTTTCCTGTTTTCCGACAATAACTCAAGAATGCTTTCACCAACTTGCAAGAAATCTTGGTGAATTGTTTATATCTGTTGATGTAAGCTCCCTTTAGAATTTTATAAATTTTAGATTTTACATTTCTGAGTTTTATTCATTAAAAAAGGGGGATTTTCCAGTTTTTGGACAATAACTCAAAAATGCTTTCAGCAGTTCTCATGAAACTTTGATGAATTATTTATAGCTATTGATGTAATCTCCCTATTGATTTTCATAAATTTCAAATATGACATTGAGAAGAAATTGAACTTTATTTGTTTATAGTCTGATTTACTAAGTATTGCACAACAGCACAGTGTATTGCACAACAGGAAGAAATCTTTAATTGAATATAAATTCAATTCATAAAACCAATTTCAAGTTCTTTGACTACATTTATTCAAAAACCTATAATATGTCAAATATTTAATTACAATCCAAATTCAGACCTGTATCAAGCTTGAATATTGTGTCCATTTTTGCCCCAACTGTTCAAGGTTGGACCTCTGCGGGCATATCCAGCTGCCCTTAGCGAAGCAGTTTATTGGTGTTTGGAATAATTGTCAAGTGAACATGTTTGTCTGGCAGGTATCATCTGACCTTGACTTCATTTTCATGGTTCATTGATCAATGTTAAGTTTTTATGTTTTGGTCTGTTTTTCAATTACCATAAGCAATAGGTCAACTTTATTTGGTGTATGGATTAATTGTAAGGTGTACATGGGTGTCTGACAGGTGACAGGATCTATCTGACCTTTACCTCATTGTAATGGATCTGTAAAAATGTTGAGTTTTTGTGATACTTGTGGTAAAACCTTTATTTTTAAGACTTTCAAGATAAAATCCATGGTCAGTAAAGCAGCTGAAAAATTTCAGCGTTTGCACTTGTATTATTTAATGAAAAATCTTTCAATAAATCTAATTATTTTAAATGAAAGAAGTAGATATACATGTTGGTATTTTATTAATCTGTGTTTACAAAATTCTTTATTATTTCAAATGTTATCAGGTGAGATTTCCCTGAAAAATTATTTTGTTATTAAATATGGATTTTGTTTGGTAATTGTATGGCTGTATAGATTTAAAATTTTTGGATTTTAAAAACATTTATCTACATGAACTTTGATCATTATTGTACTTATTTTTAATGAAATGGCAGTTTATCCCCAGCCTGTTATGCTTATTTTGTTTTTGTTTACAGAAAGAATTGTGGATGGTTGGGAGAGAACAGAGACAAAAACTAGTGTTCCATACTATATCTGGTAATATTATGGGCTTTTATTTAAAGTCAGAAAGTATCATCAAATGTTTTAGCACGGAAATGACATTTTGTCAATTCTTCATTTGTCATTGCTAATTGAATTAAGGTACAGGTCAGGAAAAAATAATTTATTGTTAGGTACAAAAATAATCTGAAGAGCAATATAGTATAATATATTGTTACAATCTTTTTTCTCCAGAATTGCCTAAGTAAACAATCTTCATATATGGATCATAAATATGATGAGTGCATTTCTATTCTAGGGAACTGCAAACACTTCAGTCGTCAGAGAGTTTGTTTTTGACATTGCCTTAGATTTATAATTATTATAATGGGATGGCACTAAATGTAACTTCTGTTTTACCACAATAACCCTGTTTTGACCAACTTTTTAGATGTGGGATATATATAGGGGTTAAAAAAAAGTCAGGATGTGGGATATATGGGATTAAAAAAGTGGGATGTGAGAAAAAGAAGGGAAAAAAGTGGGATCTGAGAAAAAGAAGGGAAAAAAGTGGAAAGTTAGAAAAATTTACAAAAAAAGCGAGATTGAGGAAATGAGGGCCCTGTGTCACCACCCTCTACTTTGTTTGGCATATTTTAGTACATGCGTTGTAGATTACTGACTGTTTTATAATCATGTGTCTTATTTTTTTACAGTCACAAATTACAAAGAACAACATGGGATCATCCATACTTATTGAAGACAATGGACGAATTGGGTAAAGTTTATAAAGAACATATCATGATCAATGAACTCACACCATTTTTTTTCAGCAAATTGTCCATAAGTGTTCATTGCTTAAAATAGAAAACAAACAGAAATATGGTCGTCAGTATACTTTTATTAAACTGCAAACATCCTCCTTCACCACATCATTTAATCTGCCAAATTAACAGGATAATCATTATTAATACAACAAATAATTTTATGAACCTTGGAGGGAAGATTGATTATTATTACAATATAAACAAGATGATGTTGTATAAGTGCCAATGAGACAACTCTCCAAGTCACAATGTGTAAAAAGTTAACAATTATAGGTCAAAGTATGGCCTTCAACATATAAAGGGCCCCAAAATGACTAGTGTAAAACAATTCAAACAGGAAAACCAACAGGCTTATCTATATTAAAACTGAGAAACCAGAAACACCTATGAACCACACCAATAAATGACAACCACTGAACAACATGCTCCTGACTTAGGATAGGTACATAAAAATGCAGTGGGTTTTAACAGGCGCCAACCTTCACCCTAACCTGAGACAGTAGTGTAACATTACAACATAAAAAGACACACTATAAAACATCAATTGAAATGGCTTATCTCGATCAAAAAGACATTTAAACAAAAACAAGTAAACATACACTAAACGAATAAGTTTGATCTATGACACAATATAAATACAATATTAAAACGTAGGTGCCTATTTAACATAGACGTTACAGGTAGTAATAGAAAGGATGTAGGAAGAGTGTATCCACAACAAAATTTTGAAAAAAAAACATTTTTCATTTTTCCATATTACTAATGTATATTGATAAGTGGATTCGTTTGTCATTGCTATGAACATTTACATAGAGTCTCTGATAACATTTTTAGACATCAATTAATTTCTTGAACCTTCATGGAATGTTTTGAATCTTGGAAGTGAGCTTCAAGATCAAGGAATAGCATCTGAGTGAAAAAATTTAAATTTAAAAAAAATTTCCCTTAATTTTACTTAAAAATGAATAAGTTTTTTGTAATCAACATAACACTTTTACACTGACCTCAGCAATCACAGGTGGGACACATGGTTCCACATTTTTTTTTATTATATTGATTGATTGAAATTAGATATGCTATAGAGCATACTGAAATGTTTTATAGGAGATTACAGTCGTATAAAGTATGCTGCATACAGAACAGCTTTCAAAATCAGACATTTACAGAAAAAATTCAAATGTAAGTATGAAATATTATTATAAATTATGACTATCAGAATTATTTTGTAGATTTTCATCCCAAAACTGTTCCTAAAGATTGATCTTAAGGGCTATTCCATTAAAATGTATGTGGGAGGGTAGGAAGGGACTTTCAAAATATCCCTACAACCAAGAACCATTTTTGTCGAGCCTTCGACTTTTGTCGAAAAAGCGAGACATAGCGATCCTACATTCCGTCGGCGTCGTCGGCGGCGTCCACAAATATTCACTCTGTGGTTAAAGTTTTTGAAATTTTAATAACTTTCTTAAACTATCCTGGATTTCTACCAAACTTGGACAGAAGCTTGTTTATGATCATAAGATAATATTCAAAAGTAAATTTTGTAAAAAAAAAATTCCAATTTTTCCGTATTTTACTTATAAACGGACTTAGTTTTGTCAAGAAATATAACATTCACTCTGTGGTTAAAGTTTTTGAAATTTTAATAACTTTCTTAAACTATCCTGGATTTCTACCAAACTTGGACAGAAGCTTGTTTATGATCATAAGATAATATTCAAAAGTAAATTTTGTAAAAAAAAAAAATCCATTTTTTCCGTATTTTACTTATAAATGGACTTAGTTTTTCTGCCAAGAAACATTACATTCACTCTGTGGTTAAAGTTTTTGAAATTTTAATAACTTTCTTAAACTATCCTGGATTTCTACCAAACTTGGAAAGAAGCTTGTTTATGATCAAAAGATAGTATCCAGAAGTAAATTTTGTAAAAAAAAAATTCCATTTTTTCTGTATTTTACTTATAAATGGACTTAGTTTTTCTGCCATGAAACATTACATTCACTCTGTGGTTAAAGTTTTTGAAATTTTAATAACTTTCTTAAACTATCCTGGATTTCTACCAAACTTGGAAAGAATTCGAACCTTGTTTATGATCAAAAGATAGTATCCAGAAGTAAATTTTGTAAAAAAGTAAAAAATAAATTCCATTTTTTCCGTATTTTACTTGTAAATGGACTTAGTTTTTCTTCCAGTTAACATTACATACAGTCTGCACTTTAAGTTTTTAAAGCATTTATTAGATTGATAAACTATCCTGGATTTTTACCAAACTTGGACAGGAGCTACTTACAATCAAAAGATAGTATAGAGAGGAATATTTTTATTAATTTTTTTCCTCATTTTTGTTGAGCCTGCGATTAACAGCAAAAGTAGGCGAGACACTGGGTTCCGCGGAACCCTTACGAATTTTTTAGATAATTTCGCATAATTGTAATAGACGCATACTGAAAAAAGACCCATGACCCACATTCAATAATTAAACTTCCCTTCCTACCCTCCCACATACATTATAATGGAATAGCCCTAACTAATTTTTATGATATATGGTTTATAAATTTTGTAAGTAAGCAAAAGGCCAAAATAAAATATATGTGTGTTTCCTATTACATACCCAAACAAAATGACATAGGGTAGGTAGGTAGGAAAAACATTTAATTTGAAAAATTATTTTCTTGTTATTCCGAAAAATGGTATAAGTATTCACTCTCCTGTGTTTTTTAGCGCTATGAAGAAGCTAAGACGTAAAAAAAACTTCACCCTTTTGGGCATTTGTCAAGTTTTTAATATACAGAGTCAAAATAAAGTATTTATTTAGAGATTGATACTTTGAAAATTATGTCATCTAAATCGTTCTTTAATTGAACTCAATGTTATTTAATTAGACAAAAATTTGGAAAAGCTGATAAAACTAAGAAGGACCAAAAGTAAACCCTACAAGGAATTAGAGCTATGCATGAAGGAGATGCATTCCTAATCTTAAATACTTTCTACATTTTATAACAGCTAATTTCAATAAAAAAGTATTCATATTATTTTTCAGTACTTCTTATTAAATCATGTTTTGGTGAACTCCTTTGAAATTATCACGCAAAATGCATTAGATTTTGAAATGGTGAATAACCAAATTGACCTAGATTAAAACATAAATAATACATAGTTGTGCAAAATTGATTTAACATGGTGGTCTTAAAAAGTCTTCCTCATAGAAAAAGTAAACCATTCTGTGAATTGGGAACAAGATTCTAGGTTTTATTCTGAGGTTGTTTTCAAGTTATAGTTTTATATAATTTTAAAATTAGAATTATCCTTTATTATGAATATACACATGTATTTGTCATGAAAGTTATATAGTGTAAATTCTAACCTGTAGATATTTTTATCTTTATAAAAAAAATCATTTAATGATAGATGACTTGCTGTTTATATCATATTACAAGTTTATATTACTTTCTGGGTTAACAGTCAAGTTGTATACTTGAGAAGTCAGATGAATCATAACTATATGTCTGCAGCTGTATTAAAACAGCAGTAAAACCTATTTCCTCATAATTATATTAGGTAGATGTCTTTCTGTGGCCTTAGATTTAAAGTCTTTCAACTTTTTTTTATTCCATATTGAGATAGAATTGTTTTATGTGTGGAAATCATTTAAAGAATTGAATTAAAATTGAAATTCAAGACTCAAAAGCCAGTCCAAAAAGTTGGATTTTTACTCAAAAATATGAATTATGTTTTACTGTGAATCTTATGATGTGGTGCAATATTAATAACTCTAAAACCAAGTTCGAAGTAAGAAAAGTTGACTTTTTTTACAGGGGGCCATTTTGAAAAAAAAATCGGTTTTTGGACCTATCAGGATGGATTTCAATGGGATGATTAAATTTTAGGTCTACATCTTTATAGATTTCCTTACTGTCAAACACAGTTTAACTGTTATGTAAACAAATGTCTGATAAATTGATACATTGACTTTAACATTGACCTTGTTGACTTGTCCTTAAAGTGCTTTGAACTACATTTGGACAAGTTTATTTCTCGTGTGGTGCATTGACCTTGAACAATGTATTAACAGTTTATATGAATTTAAATCAATAATGTTGAGTTTCAGATATAAATTTATACAAAAATAATAACAGAAATTGCAGATTTCTTTATAAGCCTAATTTTAGAATTATTCATCTTTGGTTCGAAATTTTGAACTCTTATCAATATTTTAAGTTGTAAAACCTTGTTTCACATCAACAGACGATAAACAACCATTCTATACAGGAAACTTAACCCAAATCAAAGGATTAAGAAGTGCATGCACAAGCCTATTAATCAAATTTGTCCTAATTTGATCTGTTTCATACTCATGCTTAGGAAAAAAACTTGGATGCCATTTCAACTTTGGTAATACATGTAATAGTAAAATGTGTATCATTGTCTACTATGACAATTCCCGTCTGTTTTAATTAAGGGGTCGTCATTTATCATCTGAAAATTAACAAGTTTTAGAAAATCAAGGGCTATAACTCTTGAGAATTTACAAGGATGTTGATATAAATCAAATTTAAATTGTATATCAGTGTTTATGACATGTATAACATTTCATTAAAATGTTCAGTCAGTTGGGTTGATGATGCACTTTTTAGCCTTGACTTTAGCTGAGATAAAATCAAATCAATATACACCTACAGATTGTATGCATTATTTCTTTCAAATGATGAAATAAAGAAGAAAAAAGTAAAATCACAAAAATACTGAACTCCGAGGAAAATTCAAAACGGAAAGTCCCTAATCAAATGTCAAAATCAAATGATAAAACACATCAAATGAATGGACAACAACTGTCATAACAAGAAAGTGCATTTGATAGATTAAGTACATTTGATTTAGTACAGTGTTGATATCATTGTGGTATCAAAGATGCAATTTTAATTCTTTTTTCAAATGTAGATGAAAATAGGCTACAGCATGTACTGGTAACCTAAACCTCTTTGTCATTTTAGCCACAAAAAATTGTGTAATAACAAAATATAAATAAACTAGTTTCAAGGTTAAAAAAATAAATGTATAGGATTACAAATTTCTTTTTGTGATTTTTCAGTGGACCAAATATGTATAGCAACAGTAAAGGATACGTTTGATCGTCATGGTTATCCAGATGGATATGATGAAATGATAAGTTGTACAGAACTTTTTGCTGTGTTGAATGACCTTTACCTTTGTTTAGATAAAGGAATCTCCCTAACTAGGGAAGAAGCAGAAATACTTGGAGAATTGTTACAGAACTTCATGATGAACCTGTTTGATGTGTAATGTATTTCATTTTTAGTAGAAAACTACAAAAGTAAAATATCCCAACTCTTTTCCTGACTGATACACTCTACTTCTATGTTTGTTTATCTTAAAATTTTACTTTTCCAAGTTCATGAGGAGTGCTTTTAAAGCCACATTGAATTTCAAATAAATTCCATTTTTTACATCAACACATATTAGATGGTGAAAGATACATCTGGATAACATCCACTTGAAAAGAAGTATTTTTTTTATGAATATATAAATAGATTGGAAAAAGGTATTGTTGATCTATTGATATCACAACAGAGTGAAAACTTCATTATATTGATACAAGAAATGCTCTTTATGAAGTGCACTCTGCAGTTCTAGAGAATGGGGATGAATGGAGAATTTTACAAGCACTGACAACACTGCACCAACCACAATCACACACATACACAAATCACAGCATCAATTTAACATAATTACTTAATATAGAATGCATTCTTTATTTACTTACAGGGCAAATAACTTCCATGAAATACAATGTAATAATTTACTTTTATCTGTTTTACATGTACAGGAACAGAACTGGTTGTATAAAGGTTATGTCTGTCAAGGTCATGTTGATTACAATGTGTGCAGCCAGACTGGCAGAGAAATACAAAGGTTTGTCTATTGTAGCATTTATGTTGAATGAAAACTGCATGTCAACATAAGATGTTTAATGAAAACCCTTTATGTTTGCATGATTTATTGTTTCACTTGAATTGAAAGATGTGACAAGATGAGGTGATCTTACATGTACTGTAATAATTGACATAAATGCTAGCAATTACTGTAACAAGTGATATAAACATTAGTTTTTGCAATAAAGTGTTTGAAATACTTATCATTCTGCACAAAATGTTTGGACAGTGAGATGATCTGAAACTGTGATGATCAGAGACAATTTTTTACAGACCAAATTTCATTCTTTATTACAATCGAATAAATACAATGTTGAAGAAATTTTATACATGAATATCCTCATAAAAATTTGCATATAAAGTACACGGTAATGTGACATTTTCAAGTGATATTGCACTGCCTCCAGTACTGGGGAATATTCCTGATAACCTTTGTAACTTTCTCTACAAAATGTTATGTCGTTATACAATAAAATCAGAGGTTTCCTTTTTTTCATGAATTTAATGAAGGTTCTGAGTTTTCCATACAAACTAAACAGTCGTACCATGGATCCACAATACTTTAAAGTGGTCTATTTTAATGATTACCTGGGCCAAGCCTTCAATTTGTTTTATTTTCTAGTTTTTCTGGTCCCTGATTCCAATTGTTTTTAAAGATCAAATTTTATATGAGGGGATATTTTCCTAATTTATATTCATCAGAAAAGGAACTAAAATTCATCATTTTATGGTTGTTGTTTGTATTGGCAGAATTTTCATCAGAAAGATGTTCTTTAAAGTCTATTGGCAAGGGACTTGGAAAATCAGATTGGCAAATCTTTTATTTTTTTCTGTTGAAGCTCTTGTTTTCTTAACTAAAAAACTATGAAGTATAGAAATATAGTTTGCATGTTAAAAGGAATATCAGATAACAATTTCAATCAATCTTTGACAATCCAATGAAAATAACTTACTTATTTCATGATAAAACACATACATTCTGACAGGAAATAGGAATTGATAGAAATATTTTATTTTGCAAAATTAATTTTCTTTATAAGCATGGCATTTAGATATATTTTAGAATAAAGTTATAATTTTTTCAGGTTGACCACTGATTACTAGGTACTGATTATTATAAATATATCCTTGTACTCTCCTGTAACTAAATCACAGCAATCTGTCACTAACATACATTACAATATGCATCCCATATGATAGAACATATTTAGCTGTACATGTATTTGCCGAAAGCAAAGAAAATATGAACCATTTGAAAAAAACTTTTTTTGAAGATGATAAACACTTTTTCTTCACATGCTTTGAACATTAAGCTGTCTTTTACTTCAGCACAATATACGATTAACTCAATCTTCACTCTATATTTCTTTATGCTGTATTTAATCACTGATCTGTCAGTGTGCTGTTCACTGTCATCTTTGGGTAGTTTATTTTGTTTGATACCAGTCTGTTTTGCTTTTCAGTTTTGAAATTTCTTCTTAATAATTTTTTCTTAATCATTATACTAATTTTAACTGTATTGATCTGAAAAACAGTTGCAAGCTATAAAAGTTATAAAAAACTTGTATACACAAATCATCTATAATAACTAGATGTTTGACAATAGATACTCAATAACAAGTGTAGTGAGCATTTGGGTAGAGGGGATGCATATATATATTCAGGTTATTGCCATAAGAAGATTTATAGTTGGTTCTGGTTACCTGTCTAACATTATTTTTGTCATCTATCATAAAGTTATTATGGAGTTTGTAGCAAGTATTTTTAGAGCAAAGAATTATTTAAAGTAGTTTAAGTGTCTCAGGAAAATTGAATATTTTACCTACCGTCCTACCTACCTGCCCTTATTTTTTTACGTTACTAGCCAGAAATGCGCATATATTTTTTGTCCTAAGAATATTTTTATAGAAATGTTTAATCATTATTGAAGGACTCCCAAAATAATATCTGGCCTACAAAGCATCATCAGAGAAAAAATGACATGAGAAGAACAAATAAGATTACTATACAGTGGAAACATTTACTTGTATGTGTATGCTTTTCCTAGTTTGAAAAAGAGAGGCTTAATATACCAAAGGGAAGTCCAAACACACAAGTCGAGAACAAACTGACAATGCCATTGCAAAAAACAAAACAAAAACGAAAAGACACACAGCAGTTTTCAAAACACAACATAGAAAACTAAAGACTTAGCAACACAAACCCCACCAAAAACCAGGGGTTGATCTCAGGTTCTCCGGAAAGGTAAGCAGATGCTGCTCCACATGCGGCACCTGTCATGAGAAACTATTACTGTTTTGATGATATATAATTTTGTGATTTAGTCATTGTTCTTGTGAAAACACATTTTTTGTATTACCTTAATTCATAGCTTGACCCTACCCAAGATATCCCCAAAGATAAATGCAGCACAAATGATTATAATATTGCATTGATTTTTGGTCAGAAAATATAATGCATCTGTTGGAACTCAAAACCAATAGATATATGATTATTGTTTTCTTCAATGGTAATTTTTTCTTTAGGAAAAGTAAAGCATAAATTCTGTTCATTTTATATTTATTCATGCACTATGAATCTGTCATTTCTTAGATATAGTGACTAAGTCCTATAAAAATTTTATCATTCTTATGTATATTGGTTTCTTTATATCTCAGTGATAAAACTTTATTTTATTATGATGATAATAGAATGTACAAAGAGTCCCGAATTTTGTTTTGACTTGATTGGTATACTTTATTATAGCAAGAGAGAGACAGAGAAATTTTTACCCTCTCCTTTTCTCAACCATCATCTTAGAAAATAAAAACAAAGTATGGAAGTGATATATTATACAATATTTTGTAAATAAGAGAATTTTTCAAACATGTATCTTCTGGCATCTGTTCATTAAGTTTAATGCTTCACCAAAAAAGATGCAAGTTAAGGTCAAGGAATAGTAAATGAGCTATTTCACAGATTTTGGTAAAATTTTGCATTCAACTTTGGCTCGTTGTTCTAATTGAAAATCGAAAAAAAATATTGAATTTATCTCTTTTATTTTCTGAAATATTACGGATTGAATTATTAATCATCAAATCTCCAATTTCCAATACATAGATTTTTCTAAAAAAAACTATATGTTGTTGATAAATAAATTATAATAAACTGAAATTAATGTCTCAAAAACATATAGTTTTTGTCGAGCCTGCGACTTTTGTTGAAGAAAGCTCGACATAGGGATAGTGATCCGGTGGCGGCGGTGTTAGCTAACTTCTTAAAAGCTTTATATTTTAAAAGCTAGAAGACCTGGATGCTTCATACTTTGTATATAGATGCCTTATGTTACGAAGTTTCTGTCTGTCATATGTCCAATGTCCTTGACCTCATTTTCATGGTTCAGTGACTACTTGAAAAAAAAGTCAATATTTTTTGTAATGTTAATTTCTTTCTTATTATGAGTAATAGGATAACTATATTTAGTATGTGCGTACCTTGCAAGGTCCTCATGCCCATCAGACAATTTTCATTTGACCTCGACCTCATTTCATGGATCAGTGAACCAGGTTAAGTTTTCGTGGTCAAGTCCATATATCAGATACTATAAGCAGTAGGTCTACTATATTTGGTATATGGAATGATTGTAAGGTGTACATGTCCAACTGGTAGGTGTCATGTGACCTTGACCTCATTTTCATGGTTCAGTGGTCAAAGTTAAGTTTTTGAGTTTTGGTCTTTTTTTCTAATACTGTATGCAATAGGTCAACTATAAATGGCGTATGGAATGATTGTAAGGTGTACATGTCTAGCTGGCAGGTGTCATCTGACCTTGACCTCATTTTCATGGTTCAGTGGTCAAAGTTAAGTTTTTGAGTTTTGGTCTTTTTTTCTAATACTATATGCAATAGTTCAACTATATTTGGTGTATGGAAATATTTTATGATCTAGATGTCAGTCATGCAGGTTTTATTTGACCTTGACCTCATTTTCAAGGTTCATTGCTCAGTGTTAAGTTTTTGTGTTTTGGTCTGTTTTTCTTATACTGTATGCAATAGGTCTACTATATTTGGTGTAAGGAATGATTGTAAGGTGTACATGTGTAGCTGGCAGGTGTCATCTGACCTTGACCTCATTTTCATGGATCAGTGGTCAAAGTTAAGTTTTTGAGTTTTGGTCTTTTTTTCTAATACTATATGCAATAGTTCAACTATATTTGGTGTATGGAAATATTTTATGATCTATATGTCAGTCACGCAGGTTTTATTTGACCTGGACCTCATTTTCAAGGTTCATTGCTCAGTGTTAATTTTTTGTGTTTTGGTCTGTTTTTCTTAAACTATAAGCAATAGGTCAACTATATTTGTTGTATGGAAGAATTGTTAGCTATACATGCCTGCCTAGCATGGTTCATCTGACCTTGACCTCATTTTCATGGTTCATTGGTCAATGTTTAGTTTACTTGGTTAATGTTAAGTTTATGTGACAGTTGTAATAAAGCTTTATATTTAGGACTATCAACATAATATCAATGATTAATAAAGAAGGCGAGACATTTCAGCGTGTGCACTCTTGTTTTAGAAAAATCTATGTATTGGAAATTGGAGATTTGATGATTTTAAGACATATTTAAGAACGTTTTTCACCAATATTATGTTCTTTCTATACAAATGTTCACTTTTTTTGAAATAATTCAATCAATAATATTTCAGAAAATAAAAGAGATATATTCATTTTTTTTTTCAATTTTCAGTTAGAGTCGAAGTTGTATGCAAAATTTTACCAAAATCTGTGACATAGCCCATTTACTTTAACTTGACCATAGTATAATTCTTTGAATTATATCAAAATGTCTTTAATACATGTATATATGACATATTTAAAAAAAGTATTGATGGAACATGTTGTCCGTTCCAATCACCTAACTGATAATAGGAAAACAAATTTTTGGATTTCAATGCATTTTAAATTGACAGTGTTTAATGATAACAAATTTTAATGCATTTTGTCTTTAATGAATGCAATTTGCCTGAATAACTTTGTGTTCTAATGACAACCACTGCATTAAACTGCAGAATTTTTTTCAAGCTATGTTTCTAAATTTAATTTCAGCTTATTACAATGAAATCCATGATCCTAGTACATTCATTAGCAGTACCAACTTTGCCTTGTTCTTAGAAGACTTAATACAGGTAAAACCAAATTAAGTTTTGTAAGTTTTACAACAAGATCCAAATAATATATAAATATACTGCTGTGATCCATAATTAAGTAAAATGATATAAATAATATTACTCAACAAGAAATTCTAATAGGCACCCATTTTAAGTTTTTAGCAGCAATATGTTTTGTCATATTTACTTAACCCCCTCGGTGATCTAGTGATAGCATGTTCGCCTCTACTTCGGGAGGTTGTGGGTTGGAACCCTGGCTGGGTCAAACCAAAGACTTTAAACTTGGTATTTGCTGCTTATCCTCTATGCACATAACATTTAGGAGTAAGAGTAAAGACTGGTTGGCTGGGAGTCAGAATAATATGTCCAAGTAAAGTGACATGTCTTCCTGCGGACTGTTACCTTGTGAATTAGCACATTAAAAATCTGGTTCAGTGTGTCAGTTGGTACAAAGCAGGGTTAATATTCATATTATATTTACATGTTCTGGTCCTGAATATGCATTGAATTTGCCTCAGCATGTTAAACAGCCGTCCATCATCATCATTGTATTTACTTTTTCAGTTGCCAGATATTTTACATGAAGCTGGAGCTTTTGGAAAGGATGTATCCCCTGCAGTTACCAACTGTATACAGATGGTAAGTATAGATTATCATTTTCTGCACATTGATGTCGTAAAACATCAGCCGCGAGCCACAATTTGAACCTTTTTGGTGAGTGAGCATAGCGAACGAGCAAAAAGCTTCACATTTTGTTGAGCCGCTGATTTTTTACTGTATCTATACACAAAAAACCTGATAATCTGTTGATTGTGTTTTTTTCTGGTCATTTCCCCACCATTTTACATATTTATGCATGACAAAAGTAAGCATGATAATGTCTCCTCACGAATTGTGTCATCATTAATAACTTGTGACCCTGCTAATAATGTCTGCTTGAGTCTCAAATCCGTGAAACGAAAATTATGGAGCGACTGAGCAGGGTGATATAGGCAAAGGGAAGGACAATAAGTTTTATTATATATTATAGTTCTATAATGAATGCTACAGGTATGAAAAGGTCTGACAGCAGTAATTATGTTTATTAACATTTGCTTAATTTCTTTTGGATGATTGATATTTTTAATGTTACATAAGATAGAAAATTGATAAAGTGTTCTGGTGTCATTACAAAAGAAACACCTCCTTTTTTTAAACTTCAGAATTTTATGACAACATATTGCTATAAACTCTTAAGAATGCCAAAATGTTGGTCCTATCATGGTTGTTTTCTTTCAATCCAAACAGAATGAATTTTAAGGACACTCTTCAAGACATTCTTATTGTCTGTCCTATGCTCTCTGAAGTTGGAAAGGCTAGTTATTTTTTTCTGAAAATTCTTTAATGAAGGTAAAAACCAATTTTAAATTCAATATTTTTATAGGATGATGCTGATTTCTTATGGAATTACTTACATAAGAATGTAATTTTAGTTTCTTACAGGATGCCAAAGGAATCTTTACTAAGAATCCTCTGTTTTATTTCAGAACAGCAGTGGTGTAGGAATATCAGAAGATGTTTTCTTTCGATGGCTGTTAAAGGAACCCCAAACACTTGTATGGTTACCAACGTTTCATAGAGTAGCTGCTTCGGAATCAAGTATGTTTACATGTTTTACAATATATACACTCAATAATATTTATCTTTAGGTGGTTGAAAGGTTGAACATTATTATTACTTTTCAAGAGTAGCTGGCGGCTGTCAACAGTTTCCGTGCAATAAATTAAGAACCGTTCCACCAATGCTTTTCAAATTTTGAAATGCTATAACTGATGGCAAATTGGAGGTCATGTTCGATGTTGACGATTTTCACTTTTGCATATCAGGAGTTATGGTCCTTTATAAATTGGAAAATGGCACTTTATGTTATATTCGTGCAGTAACTTATAAATTGTTCTGCCAATGCTTGTCAAATTTTAATATGCTATTACTGATGACAAAAATTTGATATTGACAATTTTCACTATTGAAATTCAGGGCATATGATCCTTGATAGATTAGAAAAAAGGCACAGAACATGCCAGGTCAAACAAGCCTGAAAGAATACAATCAATTGTTTTTACAATCTCTTTAATTTGTACTAGCTGCCTGCTTAATTTTAACAATGGTCACCTTCAAAATACATAAAAACCTGATTTTTTTGTCAATTTGATAGCTCATTTCTTGTTAGAAATTATACTAGTTACAACACTAGTTGCAAAAGGTAGTTTATGATCACTGCGGTTTATCAATCTCTGTTTGATCTACCAAAAATAATAATTGACAATGGGAGATAACTCATTTCAAAATATTGCCTATATACATGTATGTTCCTTTGCTAAATACTATGCAATGTCTGATTTTAAGTTAACAACGCAAGAATAATAGCATAACTGATTAATGGTTAAAACACATGATTGGAAATATAAACATATTCTTTATGAAACATATTGTTTGAAATTAAAGATTCCAAGATCACTGCAGGAAAAATGGGTCAGTCTCTTTAATTCACATAGGTTTTTTAAACTGTCTCATCATCAAAAGTTTTATAGACAATTTATTTTAACATGATATCTGATGAATCATTATATTCATCATATTCCTTTCTTCTGTCTCTTTTTTGTTTTAATACTTTGTACTTTTAAATTTGAAATTGTCTTAAAGCATGCTTCAAGGTTATAGCCTCTAAATGTCACTGTTATATGAGCAGATTATATTTCCAGTTACAAATATAAATGAAAAGTACTCCATATCTCTTTCATTGCAGTAAAACATGAGGCCAAATGTAACATTTGTAAAAGTTGTCCTATTGTTGGATTCAGGTGAGACCAGTGTTATTTTTACTTATGTTAAATACTTGGATAGAAAGTGCAGAAAGTTAAATTCGGGATCATGTGACAATTTAAAGATCATTCATGTGTCATAATATATTTTCTTACCGGTAAGGAGAAAATTTTCATTAGAAAGTTTCTTTTAAATTGCTACAAACACTTTTTATACAACCACAAAAATTAAAAATTTTTTGGTCGTATATTGGTATGACGTTGGCGTCGTCGTCGTCGTCGTCCGAAGACACATTGGTTTTCGCACTCTAACTTTAGTTTAAGTGAATGGATCTCCATGAAATTTTACCATAAGGTTCAATTCCACGAAAGGAAGGTTGGGATTGATTTTGGGAGTTATGGTACCAACAGTTAAGGAATTAGGGGCCAAAAGGGGCCAAAAATAAGCATTTTTGTAACTTTCAGACAATAACTCCAAATCGGGGTCCAAAATTAAACTTTGTTTGATTTCAACAAAAATTGAATATATGGGGTTCTTTGATATGCTGAATCTAACCAAGTATTTAGATTTTTGGGCCCCGTTATCAACTTTGTCCACATTGAGGTCAAAAGGGTCCAATATTAAACTTTGTTTGATTTCATCAAAAATTGAATTCTTGGGGTTCTTTGATATGCTGAATGTAACCATGTATTTAGATTTTGGATATTGGACCATGATAGGTGAATGTCCAATTTAAAAATTTTAAGTTCTTAGACCACATTCATTCTGTGTCAGAAACCTATGCTGTGTCAAATATTTAATCACAATCCAAATTCAGAGCTGTATCAAGCTTGAATGTTGTGTCCATACTTGCCCCAACTGTTCAGGGTTCGACCTCTGCGGTCGTATCAAGCTGTGCCCTGCGGAGCATTTTATTCAATATGAAATAGTCAACAATACAAAATTGTAAGAAAGCAATGTGGTAAAATTTAATTAAGTTCATTAGAAAACAGCTTTACCCAAAAAGATATTTTACTCATATCAACTTTTTCGTATAATTCATCTTTTATCATTACATCTTTAAGGGGAAAGCTGTTGCAAATATATTAAATTGACAGATTTTGTATTTTTTAATGCAATAAGTTTGAGGGTCTAAAACTTGTATTAAAACCTCCAAATATTGATATTTGACAGACTTATGTCTTTTGAACATTTGTAGAGTGTTTTTTTTTTATAGTTTTGTAATACGTTTTGATTTTAGAATTCATTGGACCAAAAATTGGCCCAAGCATATCTTCTCCTTCATTTAGTATTAGTAGTATGTTCATTTATATGTCTGATCATAACACCCCTGAATCCATCACTGAGACGATGGTCAAAAACCAGAAGTCTAAGAAAGACATATAGACAACACCTTACCAAAAGAATAAAGACCAAACAAAAATAAACAAAATAGTGTATGCACTACTTAATGAAATCTTCATTGATTGATGAATTAAGTACCTGTATCTATATTTAATACATGGATGTTATGAGCGATAATCAAAATATCTTTGTTGTCATCCTATCTACATTATTATGTACTGCATAATTCATGACAGAATGGTTTAGGGAGCAGCAAAGAAGAGGAAAATTTTTAAGATATATCTTCTGTTGTAGATATAAATGTCTGAAGTGCTTCAACTTTGACATGTGTCAGAATTGTTTTTACACTGGAAGGACAAAGAAAACCCATAAACTAAAACATCCAATACAAGAGTACTGTATGGCTGTAAGTATGTTTTGTAAGTGAAATTGCTTCATTGTCCACAAATTCTTAACAATTTCAAAGCTTACATATATAAACTCATTGGAAATTAACCCAGTAAAATTAAGAATAAAATTACTAACACAAATGTAGAATACATTTTTGTAATTGCAAGTGGATAATTACTAAATTTAGATATACAAATTTCCCAAAGTGAAGGTAAATTGTACGTAAAATGATACCTTCTTTTTTAATTAAGTTTGAAAAAAACTATCTTCATAAATGTAGATACGGTTGAAAATAATATATACATTTATAGCATGCACTTATTTTAAGATAACCCTTAGTGCTATAACTTTGGAAAGGTTATAATTGCCAACAGAGGTAAATTAGCAAATAACAAGTAGGGTTCTTTTCTTAAAGAGTTCAGGTTGGTGTCAAATAACTTTCTTTCAAGATAGTTTGACCTGATTTGTCATCAAAATCAACTGCTACAATAAGTTACCTTTATATAATTTATTATTATATTTAGATCCAAAATTTATTTGCTAACATATTTATTATACTTTGTAGACAACAACAAAAGAAGACACAAAAGCATTTTTGACAACAGTTCGTAATAATTTGAGTAAGAAATACAGACAGAAGTCTAAACTAAAGTATTTGCCTATCATGTCAGAAAACCAGTACTATCCTCATACATGGTAGGTTCTTTATATATGGTAACTTCCTTGAAGCATGAAGAGTCTAGCTCTAGGCATTTACGTTATACTCCACAACAAAATGTTATGGAGGCATATATATTTATCTTTAACCATTCATCCCGATGTTTTTAAATTGTGTGTTTAAGTTCATTTTTAGAAATGCTTAATTGTATACTGTAATTTCAGAAATATTGTGTGCATTTATTATTGCGATTTATTAAGAATGGACAAAAATGTAAGATTAATTATTGCGATTTCAGGAAAATCGTCATACAGATATATGTATCAGATAAGAGAATGAGAGTTCTTATTATTGCAATACTCATACAGTCGCATTATTCACATTGATATAAACCTCGCAATAATTTTTGAATTTACAGTATCAATAGCTCAAAATGAGTATTAGTAATGAACTAAAAAGTAATTGAAAATGTTAAAATGCTATGAAAATCATTACAAAAATCTGAAAATAGCAGTTTTATGATGTAGTGGAATAATCATTTATAATTTCAAATAATTTTTCCTTTGAATTTGAAAAAAAATGTTGACTCATAATTATTCGTGTGGTAGAAAGTTAGTTACATATTCAAGTATTCCCCGAAATGCAAATTTCCTATAGGATTGCATTCAGAATTTGTCCAAACTTTGAATTCAAATATCCACAAAAACAAACTTTTTATCAATCCACTAAAATTGAGACCCACGAAAATAAGTGAATCCATAGTAATCTCAAAATCAAATTTTATTAAGAAAAACTTTCTTTTCATTATTTTTACTTTGACAATTAATTTTCATAAGTTGTTAAGATGATGTTATTAGAAAGTGATTATGGATTTCTGCAACTATGTTCCAAAATTTAAAACTATTCTTTTCTCATATTGCAACATATGATCTTGTCATGCAGAGAAAATCATAACCCAAACATGTCTGTGACAAGAATATTATAGTACTCTTTTGAGTAGAAGATTGTGTAATTTGTGTTTCTCTTTTTTTTACAGGAATAACAGAATTGAACCTCCTGTGCCGAATATTCACTCAGCCATGACAAACAATGCTCACAAACTCACTCAAGCAGAAAGACATCCAAGTACATATGACTTGACACAAGAAGTTGGTACACCAAATGATGAAAATAAGGTAAGTTTAGCTTTGTCAAATATACCATGATATATAAAAAGGATATAAACTGTTCCATACCATGCATTACTTTTCAGTTTACTAATGTATAGGATGCACGTAAATATGGTACAAAAATTTAATAATTTGACTTTAAATGGCCTTTTTCTACAAAAACCTGACGTACAAATTTTCTTTAAAAAGGATATGTTACTGTCACTTAAATTTCTGTATTTCTGTATTGTACATGTGCAAAATATATGTTTCATAAAAAAAATTGGGGTCACCAATTTCGTTTACAATTATGCTACATATGATATTTACAAGATTTTGATTTTGTTCCATTTTCCCCAAAATGCTAGATTTTTTAACATTCTTAAATTTTTGTAAAATTTCCCAATCTGTTACACACAGTTTGTCCCCCTAACTACTTTCAAACCTTTGAAATAAAGCCATTTACTTGTACAGAATATTCTCACATATGCTGAATGTGTGCATATTATAAGAATTTCAAAATGTAATTGAACAATTCTAAATTTCTTGTGAAATTTTAGCATATAAATAAACCATTGAAATACATATTTAAATTCAAGTATGCTAGAACACACAAGGAAATCATATGTATCCTGCAGAACAGAAACGGTATTGGTAATTAAAATACTGTTTTGGCATCCATCTCCTTTGTTCCAGTTGTATACACAGTCATACTTCAGTAAAGTGTATTGGATAAGTTTGAGAAGTAAATATTTCTTGGCAAATGAGTTTATTCTAATTTAATATAAATATCTTGGTCACATATTAGGGAATTAATTATCCTGATGTTTCTATTTCTAGGAAAACATGACTTTTACTGTTCAAGTTCACGCTGAAGATAAAAAGAGAAGAATTTCTGATACCAAAACAGAAGATTCAGATTCATTGATACAACAACGAAAGGAATTGGAAAAATTTATCAAACAGCTGGAGGATGAAAACAGGTATTGTATAAAATAAAAAGCAAAAAAGCTTGCTATTACAGATAATAACTTCATTGTTATGTCATGAAAATATAAAGATATACATGTATTGATGATGATAGGTTTTATAAAGAATGAGAATTGTATATTACTTGATGTCAGCTCGAGTTACATAATTTCATTATGATTATTGAAATTGTATAACAAGTTTATTCTTAGTTTTGAAATTAAATAACTAGAGTTGATATCAAGTGATATCCTATTCTCATGAGTTGTTAAAACTATTTCTGATATGTTAAAAATTCCGATTTTGCTAAATAAAATTCTTCAAAATGTTCTTATCTTTAGTACCTAAACATTTTCATGTGATAGTTCTACTTCCAGCGTTAAACGTTAACATCAAACATTTTTAAGCTTTTTTTATGCTTCATAATGGAATTGGCTTTGTCAAAGAGAATACTCAGGTGAAAATGTGAGTGTTTTGTATATTGTCATTGCAGAAGTTACATATCTCCTTTACCAGGGAAGAAAATTATTCTGTTGTGACCTTTGAAAGTCATTATTGACCTAACAAATAGCCAATAGAAATGTCACAATTTGGTTTCACATTGCAGGATAGGCCAACCTAATTATTGCATTTCTGAATCACTTTTCCTCACACTTCTTTCTGCTTGATTTGAGAAATATCTCTTCATGCAGGAAAGATAACAGTACACAAACATAAGATAATGTTCACTTTATTTTACTTGTCAGTTGATTTGCACCTCAAAATTATGCAGATTAACATGAACCAGAGAATTTACCAGTATTCCACAAAAAAACTTACGAAAACCATTTTTTTTTTTTAATAAAGATAGTAATGTTTATTTTTAGACAGTTGCATCAGCAGTTGGCAGAATTTAGAGAATCTTCTGATACAGAGAGTAACTTGTCAGGTGGTGAACCTAGAAAAAAGGTACATAATGATTACTTTGAAATAAGGGTTGAGATCTCACAAAACATGTTTAATCCCCCTGCTTTTTGTGCCTGTCCCAAGTCAGGAGCCTCCGGCCTTTGTTAGTCTTGTATGTTTTTGTCGAGCCTGCGACTTTTGTCGCAGAAAGCTCGACATAGGGATAGCGATCCGGCGGTGGCGGCGGCGGCTACGGCGGCGGCGGCGGCGGCGGCGTTAGTTAACTTCTTAAAAGCTTTATATTTTAGAAGATGGAAGACCTGGATGCTTCATACTTTGTATATGGATGCCTCATGTTATGAAGTTTCCGTCAGTCACATGTCCAATGTCCTTGACCTCATTTTCATGGTTCAGTGACTACTTGAAAAAAAAGTTCAGATTTTTTGTAATGTTAAATTCTCTCTTATTATAAGTAATAGGATAACTATATTTGGTATGTGCGTACCTTGCAAGGTCCTCATGCCCGTCAGACAGTTTTCACTTGACCTCGACCTCATTTCATGGATCAGTGAACAAGGTTAAGTTTTCGTGGTCAAGTCCATATCTCAGATACTATAAGCAATAGGTCTAGTATATTCGGTGTATGGAAGGACTGTAAGGTGTACATGTCCAACTGGCAGGTGTCATGTGACCTTGACCTCATTTTCATGGTTCAGTGGTTATAGTTAAGTTTTTGTGTTTTGGTCTGTTTTTCTTATACTGTATGCAATAGGTCTACTATATTTGGTGTATGGAATGATTGTAAGGTGTACATGTCTAGCTGGCAGGTGTCATCTGACCTTGACCTCATTTTCATGGTTCAGTGGTCAAAGTTAAGTTTTTGAGATTTGGTCTTTTTTTCTAATACTGCATGCAATAGGTCAGCTATATTTGGTGTATGGAATGATTGTAAGGTGTACATGTCTAGTTGGCAGGTGTCATCTTACCTTGACCTCATTTTCAAGGTTCATTGCTCAGTGTTAAGTTTTTGTGTTTTCGTCTGTTTTTCTTAAACTATAAGCAATAGGTCAACTATATTTGTTGTATGGAAGAATTGTTAGCTGTACATGCCTGCCTAGCATGGTTCATCTGACCTTGACCTCATTTTCATGGTTCATTGGTCAATGTTTAGTTTACTTGGTTAATGTTAAGTTTATGTGACAGTTGTAATAAAGCTTTATATTTAGGACTATCAACATAATATCAATGATTAGTAAAGAAGGCGAGACATTTCAGCGTGTGCACTCTTGTTTTAATTTTAGTTCATTTATTTGTTTTGGAGTTTAGTGTGACGTCCATTTTCACTGAACTAGCACACAATTTTATTAAGGGGCCAGCTGAGGACCACCTCCGGGTGCGGGATTTTCTCGCTGCATTGAAGACCCATTGGTGGCTTTGGGCTGTTGTCTGCTCTTTGGTCAGGTTGTTGTCTCTTTGACATATTCCCCATATCCATTCTCAATTTTATTGAATATTATAGATTATTTAGTTTAATTGTGTTTCAGAAAAAGACATGGTAAAGATTTTTTTAAGGTTAATAATCATGTTTTATTATTGTATTTTAGAATCTTCCATTAGCACCATTAGAGAATACTTATTCAGTTGGATTAAACAGTTATGAGCCTGCTAAGCCAAGTCCAATTAAGGCTGAAATCACTCATGGTTATCTTCAACATCGCAGTCATACTCCACAGTAGGTTAAACGTATTCTGTAATATTCTTATACATCATTTATTACATTCATCTCATGTAATTGTTGTTTGTTGAAGATTGAAATTCTGAATTAACAATAGTTTGGGTTATCATCTCGGCCATTTTTTGGATGTTCTCCATGTGAATTAATAAAACAATGTCCATTGTTAGTTGGGAGAAAAAAAGGCTGGTTTTAATCTAGCCTACAACAAAAGAATTGACAGTCAGTGAGACTAAGGCATGCTGTTTCCAAAGTCCTTGGAATCAACAGTTGTGAAAGTTTGTGATGAGGTCACACAGGCATGACATTTCCCTCTGTTAACTGTTTATGTAATGTATACTTGCTATGAACTAAAGTGATATTTAATAACAGAGAAATTTAGATAAGGATGAGAATAATGTAATCAGTGCAGAAGAATGTTGTTGATACTTAGGTATTTACACTGAGCATAACATTTGATGTTATGTTATATATAATTATTGATCTTGGAAAACAAAGCTAAAATTGAGAATTGATTCTGTAAATTCAGAAATTTTAGCGATGTTTTTTCTAATGCCAAAAATAAGACTGGGTAAGTATCGCAATAATTTGAACTTGCATTCTGATAGCTGATACATATATCTGTATGCAGCTTTTCCTGAAATCCTGGTTGGTCATGTCAAAAAAATAAATGATCCCAGTAATTTCTGAATTTACAGTACTTATATCCTTAACATACAAGTAAGCAATCTCACACTGATAAAAATCAATGGTAGTTTGTAAAGATTTAGAGGCAGATGAGAAAAGAAATGATGTGGTATAAATGTACATGGTTCCGCAATCTCATGAAATACTGTAAAATAAACATTGTGCACTTTCAGAATCTTAAGGGTTGTGTGTCATTTCAGTATGCTGCCAAGTGCTTTTCAGGGTACCCCATCCTCCACCAATAAAAACTTGCAAAACCTCAAAATAACTTATAGTGCTGAAAGTAGAGTTAAACACCAAATTCAATCAATCAATCATTTCAGTATTTGTACAACAAAATGAAAGAAACAGAACAGCTTTGAGGATATATACAGAAATGAAAAAGCAGTAAGCTAAACGAATTGATTTTTTCAAAATTTTACAGATATAGTCCACTTTCGTCTCCCGATGATCCAGACAAATTATCGAGATCCAAGATATCTGCCATACATCGATACTCAGACAGCTTTGTGACAGAACCATGTAGTGACAGCAGAAATAGAATGTCTTACGATAGTTTAGATTACATAGATGTTAGTCCGTCACATTTTACACTACCAAGCTATGCACACAGTAGAGCTTACATTGACGAGGAAGCAGAGATGGATAACCTTGTTCACAAAATGGAGCAAGTTTTCCCAAGTAACCTATCTTACTCAGGTATTGTTTATACATAAAATGGAGCAGGTTTTCCTGAGTAACCTATCTTACTCAGGTATTTTTTATACATAAAATGGAGCAGGTTTTCCTGAGAAACCTATCTTACTCAGGTATTGTTTATACATAAAATGGAGCAGGTTTTCCTGAGTAACTGATCTTACTCAGGTGTTTTTCCTACAAAAAATGGAAAAGGTTTTCCAAAATTACTTATCTTATGCAGGTACTTTATAAACAGAAAATGGAGCAGGTTTTCCTGAGTAACTGATCTTACTCAGGTGTTTTTGTCGAGCCTGCGACTTTTGTCGCAGAAAGCTCGACATAGGGATAGTGATCCGGCGGCGGCGGCGTTAGCTAACTTCTTAAAAGCTTTATATTTTAGAAGGTGGAAGGTCTGGATGCTTCATACTTTGTATATGGATGCCTCATGTTACGAAGTTTCCGTCAGTCACATGTCCAATGTCCTTGACCTCATTTTCATGGTTCAGTGACTACTTGAAAAAAAAGTTCAGATTTTTTGTAATGTTAGATTCTCTCTTATTATAAGTAATAGGATAACTATATTTGGTATGTGCGTACCTTGCAAGGTCCTCATGCACGTCAGACAGTTTTCACTTGACCTCGACCTCATTTCATGGATAAGTGAACAAGGTTAAGTTTTGGTGGTCAAGTCCATATCTCAGATACTATAAGCAATAGGTCTAGTATATTTGGTGTATGGAAGGACTGTAAGGTGAACATGTCCAACTGGCAGGTGTCATCTGACCTTGACCTCATTTTCATGGTTCAGTGGTTATAGTTAAGTTTTTGTGTTTTGATCTGTTTTTCTTATACTGTATGCCATAGGTCTATTATATTTGGTGTATGGAATGATTGTAAGGTGTACATGTCTAGCGGGCAGGTGTCATCTGACTTTGACCTCATTTTCATGGTTCAGTGGTCAAAGTTAAGTTTTTGAGTTTTGGTCTTATTTCTAATACTATATGTAATAGTTCAACTATATTTGGTATGTGCGTACCTTGCAAGGTCCTCATGCCCGTCTCACAGTTTTCACTTGACCTCGACCTCATTTCATGGATCAGTGAACAAGATTAAGTTTTGGTGGTCAAGTCCATATCTCAGATACTATAAGCAATAGGTCTAGTATATTCGGTGTATGAAAGGACTGTAAGGTGTACATGTCCAACTGGCAGGTGTCATCTGACCTTGACCTCATTTTCATGGTTCAGTGGTTATAGTTAAGTTTTTGTGTTTTGGTCTGTTTTTCTTATACTGTATGCCATAGGTCTACTATATTTGGTGTATGGAATGATTGTAAGGTGTACATGTCTAGCGGGCAGGTGTCTTCTGACCTTGACCTCATTTTCATGGTTCAGTGGTCAAAGTTAAGTTTTTGAGTTTTAGTCTTTTTTTCTAATACTTTATGCAATAGGTCATCTATATTTGGTGTATGGAAATATTTTATGATGTACCTGTCAGTCTTGCAGGTTTTATTTGACCTTGACCTCATTTTCACGGTTCATTGCTCAGTGTTAAGTTTTTGTGTTTTGGTCTGTTTTTCTAATACTATAAGCAATAGGTCAACTATATTTGTTGTATGGAAGGATTGCAAGCTGTAGTACATGTCTGCCTGGCATTGTTCATCTGACCTTGACCTCATTTTCTTGGTTCATTGGTCAATGTTTAGTTTTCTTGGTTAAGTCTGTATCTTAGAAACTATAAACAATAGGTCAACTATATTTAGTGTATTGAATGATTGTAAGGTGTACATGTATTTCTTGTTTGGTTTATATGACCTTGACCTCATTTTCTTGGATCATGTTAAGTGTATGTGATAGTTGTAGTAAAGCTTTATATTTAGGATTATCAACATAATATCAATGATTTGTAAAGAAGGCGAGACATTTCAGGGTGTGCACTCTTGTTCCTACAAAAAATGGAAAAGGTTTTCCAAAATTACTTATCTTATGCAGGTACTTTATAAACAGAAAATGGAGCAGTTTTTCTAAGTAACCTTTCTTAATCAGGTATTGCTTACAGAAAGTAGAATAGGTTTTCCAAAGTAACCTATCTTAATCAGGTATCTTTTCATACAGAAAATGGAATAGGTTTTCCTAAATAACCTATTTTACTCGGGTATTCTTCATACAGAAAATTGAGCAGGTATTCCCAAGTAACCTATCTTATTCAGGTGTTGCTTAAACAGAAAATGGTTTAATAATGTCTGAATTAAAAAAAAAAAAATTTAAATTATTTTTTGTAAAAACAATATCCGAGAAACCTGTTCTGTATAAATAATACATATAAGTAAAATAGGTTAGATGTATTATTTATACAGAAAATGGAACAGGTTTCTCGGATATTGTTTTTACAAAAAATAATTTAATTTTTTTTTTTTTTTTTATTCTGACATTATTAAATTTAGATTTCAGCATAGATTGAATATTATAAAAAAGTAATTCCTCTAACATTAAGCCAAAATCAAATTTGTGTGGTGGTTATCATTACAAATGACTGAACTAATAAAAAAAAAGTATAAAAAATGAGATTTTTAACATTCATATAATAGACTTATAATCACAAAAGACAATATCAAAAGTCTGATCAGCCCTCTTGTAGCATTATTTCAATAATCATATATTGTTTTATAATTTCAGCTTACTCTACAACAGCCAATGATGAAATGTTACAAGCAGCATCTACAATAGGAGCAGCAATGTCAGACTATGTTAGTGAAGCTATTCATACTTATTACTAGCAGAGCTTCCATTAATGTGCAAGATTTTTATCCTTGGGCTATCTATAGATATTAAGCATCAAAGGATAACCAATGTATGAAAAGAAATGTCAGATTTTGTGACTGAAGCTATTCATAGTTGGTTATACATATATGCCAAGTTAAAGTTATTTTTTTAAGTATAGTTTCCAAATGAAGCTTTTTCAGTGGTATTGTATGAAGATATCATGATTTTTCTTTCACTGTCATTGAAGGTTTAATGCCTTGTTTTTGTGTCGCTTGCATAGTTGAGCAAAACACTTTTCGTCGACACTTCACACTTTTGTTAATCTGTAACTAAACTCCAAGGAAATCAAACAAAGTTGAAGTTGTGCACATCTTATTATTTTTTATCACATTGATTCAAGAAGTTTAATTAGCCACATAAGGACGTCATCACTTTAAAGTGTGCCATTTAGTGAATACCAATGACAGACAAAATGTTCAGAATGTTGAGCTCTACCAATTGTTCCTATGTGTCAAAACTGTCAGACGACTTCTTATAGTTGTTGTCCTTAAATGACAAATTTTACCATTTTATTCATCTTTGCCTATTATCTAGAAAACTATAAAAGATAGAGCGAAACTTTAAACTGCAAAAATTATCAGCAAGACAAGTTTTACAAATAAGTCTGCATGGTCGAAATCGTCAGTCGACTCCTCATTAGAGCTTTTGCCCTTTGATGACGATTTTTACCAATTTTTTGCATTTTTGCCTTATATCTTAAAAATTGTAATAGATAAGATCTAAAATTAAGACAGTATGGATTTTTTGCCGTTTAATGAAGATTTTACCATTTTTTTTGCGTATTGCCTTATATGATAAAAATTATAATAGATAAATAGACACTTAAAATCACAAAAATGATCAGCAAGGCAAGATCTACTAACAAGTCAAATTTTGCCGATATAGTTAGTAGACTGTCACTCTTTATACGAGTGATTACCCTTAAATGAGGATTTTTTTTTTACCCTCTTTTGTGATTTGAGAAAAAAACTAAAGAAGATAGAGAAACTAAACAGATTAAATGATCAGCAACACATGATAACAAAACAGATTTTTGTCATGAGTTCTATTCTCGTCTACAATGTTGGAGAGTGTCCTTTGTTGAATATGCACATAGACCTACGTGAGCAACACAGGTTCTTTAGAGCCTCTAGTTTTTAACAAAGACCAATTAATCTTACAACAAGAACATCAGTATCTGTACATGCTACAGTCTATATATCAGATTTAAAAATAGAAATGCTTCTACAGGTGTTTTTAAAGGAACTTCACCACCCATGATAGTCTTGCACCATTTGTAAATAAAGATAGTTTAAAAACTTGTATAACCCAAGTAAGTACCCTTATTTTTTCATACTTTCTGTTGTGAATAGATATAGAAAGGTTTGTAGGGATAGTGTTGTGACAGTATTTACTCACATTTTGTGCAATATTTTTTGTATTTATATTGATTTGTACAGCTTTTATAGGGCATCTATTTATATGCAATAATGTTTTGATAGATTTTTCCTTTAATTAAAAGAACCCATGGCAAAACTCAACTATACTCATAAATTACTAGAAATAATAATCCCTATCATTGTTTACAATAAATGTATATCATTAAAGACAAGGTACGGTTTGGGGCCACATTTGCCCTGAAATTAAATATATTTCAAACTGTCTCAGATTTTAAGAATTAAATGTTAAATGTATGTACAAATGTACTTTTTAAAAAAACAATGTTATTTTGAGTTGTACAGCCAGGCAATTACGTTAATCAGTAAAATGGTTTAAAATATGCAAAATATTGATTTTATTACAATTAATATTGAACAAAATTGTTGCCCATAAAGACATTTAAGTGAGGGTATTTTGTGTTAATCTATTTGCTGGCAAAAAATATTTTGAGCGACACTTGCGCTTTTTATACGCCCGTCAATTTTTTGACGGGACGTATTATGGTATACAAATGTCCGGCGTCCGTCCGTCTGTCTGTCCGTCTGTCTGTCCGGCGTAAACATGTCGCAATGTAACTTGAGAATGACTTATCCAAATTTCATGAAACTTAATATAGTTGTTTCTTATGATGGTCAAACGATCTGTATACTTTTTGGTGAAAATAAGATTAAAACTTTTTGAGTTACGGGACTTAGTAACTAAAACAGGTGTGTGTTTTTTTTCACATGTCGCGTTGTATCTCAAAAACGATTTATGATTATTGCTTAAAACTTTACACACTTCTTAGTTATATTAATCTTAAGATCTGTATACTTTTTGGTGATGATTCAAAATTTTATTTTAGAGATATTGAGTATTTTGTTAAAAAAGGGGGAGGGGTTTTTCACATGTCGCGCTGTATCTCAAAAACAGTTCATGATTATTGCTTAAAACTTTACACACTTCTTTGTTATATTAACCTTAAGATCTGTATACTTTTTGGTGATGATTCAAAATTTTATTTTTGAGTTATTGAGTATTTTGTAAAAAAAGGGGGAGGGGTTTTTCAGATGTCGTGCCGTATCTCAAAAACGATTTATGATTATTGCTTAAAATTTTACACACTTCTTAGTTATATTAATCTAAAGATCTGTATACTTTTTGGTTTTGATTCAAAATTTTATTTTAAAGATATTGAGTTTTTTGTAAAAAAAAAAGGGGGTTTTCGCATGTCACGCCGTATGTCAGAAACTATTTATGCTTATTGCATAAAAATTCACACACAAGACGACGGGCGTATCATGCGCTAATGGCGCAGCTGTTTATTAAAAAATTTAAAACAACCAAAATGTTCCTACAATCAGCCCATTTTAGTTAAAAATATAAAGAAGTGACAGTTAAAATTTGTCATCAAGGCTTGCCTAAGGTTCACATTTTCTGGAAAGCCTTTCTTCAGATGCCTAAAACGTATATAGTAATGACATTAAGCAACGTTTAATTTTTGGTGAACTTGTTTATTAGTCCTTTGATGTGAAATTTCTCCATACTATAGTACATTTTTAATGTATGGATGTACATGAAAACATGTCAGTTCTTTACTATCAACAGGTTCATATATGCTAATGCTTGTGATGTTATGCTGACAGTGAGCTCAGCAATCGTTCGTCCAATAAATCTGTTCCTATTGTTAACATAACGTTAAATAAACATACTTACAGGATGAACAAAATTACTGGCCAGCATCTTAGTTGTTTTGATTAACAAATTTAGAGTAGGGTTTGATAAGCTTATATCTTTGAATATTGATGTTTTGAACATAGTCTTGCCACTTTTATATAGATGTCTTTTTTTGTTGGTGTTTCCTGTCTTTGCAACAAAGATGATCTATTGCTACCTCACAAATTACTATTATCGCACCGCGGGTAAATTATCACGTTGTGATTGGTTTAATGTCGTCATGTGGACCTCCTATGGATCCGTAGGGGGTTACTGACGTCACGTCTCTGTTAATGGTGAAGTCATCTATTGATGTTGTTGTGTTTCATTGTTTATTTTTCTACAAAACGCAGCAGAAAAAGTCCCGCATGCGATAAATTCGTTATATGGTTCACTACTGACCCCCTACGGACCATAGAGGGTGAATAAATTCCATAGGATATTCGGCCTTCGGCCTCATCCCCTATGGATTTTACTAACCCTCTATGGCTCCGTAGGGGGTCAGTAGCAAACCATATAACTTATAATATTTTTCTAGTCCCTATTCTGAACAATATATTATTAGTTAATTAAGCTCAGTAAAGTTATTGTAGAATAATGTTTTGTAGCAACACACAATGTTAAATTTGTAATTGTGTGTTTATGTACATGTATTTTAAGAAATGTATGCAAAATTCATAGGTAATTTTCATATTGTCCTTTCATGATCTTTCATGATGGTCTGTGTAGTTTTTGTAATTTTTTGAGAATGTTTTATTATACAATGTATCATGTAAAGACATTTTGTACTGTAACAATATTGGATTTGACAGAAATTTTCCTCATTCAATGAAGTCAGTTCTTTAATGAAGAGATCACCCATAAGTCCAAAGTTTTTTCAGTATTTTTACAGTATTTAGCTACACAATTGTTAAGAAGTCTTAATAGTTATACTATTATTTATATATACAACTAAATAAATCATAGTTTTATAAATCTCTGGCAAAATTTTTTGTTAGAAAATTATTTTTTATACATAATAAAATTTCATATTTATGGTAATTGAAAGTTTTCAGTTCATGAAAAATATATTTTCTTTTTATGAATATACAGTAGCTGATTATATAATAGTATCATTTCTTTATATTAGATGGTCCCATTGGTATATTAGCCTTTAATCAGAGGTCTGATTAATACTCAGAACTGTAGTGTGTTAAACATGCATGATATATTTTACATAAATCCTGAACTAAGTTCAAAATAGGGGGAAATGATAAGTATGTATTTTACACTCTATTCTTTAAATCATTTAAAAATTTGTCTGTTTAACAGCATACATTTCAAAATTAACTTATCATTTGAAATTTTAAAACTGTCTTCATCAAATAAATATTATACTGTATTCAAATTCAACAAGCAAACTTTTGGTTGCTAAAATTTCAGTTTTACCAGATGTTTAGTCAGAATGTGTTGTAGACATTTTTAAATGTATGTTTTATTATAATGTATAGTACAATTTAGATAACTACAGCATATTTTTTTTGTATTGGATTCAAGTGTAAAGTTCCATAAAATTTACAATGTATTTGGCGTAATTGTAATGATGCTTTAACTAATTTTGTACAATAAATTGTACACCTAAGACAGTTATTTAATTGTTTCTTTTTATTTAAGATTTGGTCTTCTTTTTGAAATTATATTGACATGAAAAACTGAAGAATTTCATATCATTTATAAAAAATCACTCATAAATAATTAATGTAATAAATATAACCTACAAAAATAACTAGACTAGATCTGTCAGCAATACTGGACTTGTACATTCTGCACTGAGGTTTTAGTATGCTATTGACTGGAATACATGGAATCCCAAGATGTTGATAATATGAATTTGGACATTTTTCTAGTGTTACTGGTATATTTGATGTTTTCTCAGATGCATGTACATACTACACACATGAATATCAGGATCAAACAAGAAATAAGTTTCATTAAGATATAATGAATCATCTTTGAGGAGTTGAAAAAGTAAAACTACTAAAAAGAAACTTTTCAAATGTTCAACAGTGAAAGATGAGGATAGAAAATAATGATCCAGTATTTCAAAAAGTAACTGTTTAAATACTATGTAAACAGAAAATATGAAGTTTTACAAAACTGGATCTCTATGTGTCTGTTCAAAGTTAGTAGCTTATTATTCAGTGGTTATTGTTGGTTGCATTCTTCCATATTTGTTTTTCATTTATTGTTTCAGTATAAATCAAGCTGTTAGTTACTCTTGAATATTGGTTCACATTTGGTCATTTTATAGCTACTAAACAGTATGGGTTTTTCTCATTGTTGAAGGCTGTAAGGTGACTTGTAGTTTGTGACATCCTTGTCCTTTTGTCTCTGGTGAACAGTTGTCTCATTTGCAATCATACCAAATCTCGATATTTTTATACTTACCATGACTTTTTGTGTATGAACAGGTTACGTTCTGATGAAAATTTAACAAGGTTGCAAAATGAACCATCATAAAATTTAGGTAAACTTACATGAAAATGGGGGGCAAGATATATAGGTATTTGGTTTGTTAATGTTACCAAGGGAAAAGTATCCTTGAAGTCTGGACTTTCGTTGCACAAATGACAAAAACAAAAATATGATTTATACTTATTTATTTGGACTGTAAATTCAAAATAAATTCTGACATACAGTTATCTAAACATTGTTATAGTTGTAAATTGTTTGAGTATATAAAACTACATATATTATGACATTCTGAGAAATAACATACACATCACATTAAACATAGAAGGGATACAATGGTCAACCTACTAGTTTTCTGAACTGTTAATACAACCTATTAATTCCCAGACAACCTTTAAAGCAAAGCAATAATACAACCTGGGGAACTATGTTTTAACAGTATAATATTTTCGGATTTTCTACTAAAATCTAATAATTTATGACTTAATTTATTTCAGAAGTTTTATGAATTGTCCATATATAATTGTTTTAAATCTGTCATCCATTACGAAATAATATGGCCATTACTAGTAAGTAATCCTATAAATATTCTACGGTATAATTTATGGCACATTATCTAATACTACTGATGACATAAGAATTCCACATATTTTAGTCACTAAACAGTATAGAAGATGATTGTCTTTAAGTGAAATCTAAAAATTTTTACTATCAGTTTTCATTAAAAAAATTGGAACCATCTTTTACAGGAAATAAAACTTTAAACTTACTTGGTGATATTTGAATGACTGATTCGTGTCAGGATATATTATTGACTGAGTTTTGAAGTTACAAAACCTCACTGTTGTTATTTAACTTTTTATCTCACTGAAAAAAATATTTTGTTATATGATGCAAGCAAAGCAATTAAAATGGCTTTTTTTTTGTAAACTATAAGAAAAAAAATTCATTAACTTTTAAATAACACATGATCAGTTAGTTCTGTAAATATTGCTACTTTTGATTAAAAACAGAATATTTACAGCCATTTTGAAACCATTATCTTGAAGTATGAAAAATACATTTATTGCAATCAATGCAAATATCAGAAATACTAATCAATATTAGAAATATAGAACTACTTGCAAATACTTAACTAAATTTTCAACAAATTTCTATCTATAATTATGTTAGTGGTGGTATCATAGAATTTCTAAAAATTAAGAAAACTGATCATATAAAGTTGTGAAATTTGAACAAATATATAAATACTTAACTATCTTTTAGAACAAAACAAAATTCATTACAAACTAAGGAATTCATTAAATATATCAGATCTTAAAACAAGACATAGTAATATGTCACTGGAAACAGAAGACTTGACAGATCTACAAGAACAGAGAAATACATATAACCTGAGAAAGAGTGACTAGATATATAAATAAAATCTACGTATTGTCACTTAAAGCTATCACAATCATATATTATACAGAATTCTATTCATAAATCTAATAAGGTATATTCATTATTAGCACATAAGGCATCAGATTTTACCAGTAATCAAACGGCAGTTATATTATGATGAGGTTCATTTCTGTTTACCAATGAAATTAAGACATTTATCTGAACCATTCCACCACTCAATTATACAACCTTAGCTCACACCCTGAGCTGCATACAAAAAAAAATCATTAAAGATCACAATTTTTTACAATAGAGCAGGTACAGTTCGGGACCAGATTGGTCCTAAATTTAAAGGTTCTTAAAAATTTGGTCGATTTGCAAAATTAAATGTTTAAACAATATATATAAATAAACAAAGCTCCTTTGTTCAAAGTATATTTCACTTCATGGGTCACAGTCATTAGGTGACAGTGAATTTGGTAAAATAGGGACATTACATAAATTATTAACAATTTGGTGTACACATGCATATTAATTAGATAATAACTCTAATCCAAAAGGACCCAGTATAAAGAGTCTCATAACAAACATCAGGAGCCTGTAGTTCAGTGATCAGGAGCCTGTAGTTCAGTGGTTGTTGTTGGTTCATATCTGTTATAATTGTTTTTTATAAATTAGGCCATTGATTTTCTCAATTGAACTGTTTCATATTTTTCATGTCCAGGCCTTTTATAGATGACTACATGATATGGGGTTTTCTTATTGTTGAAGGCCGTATAGTTGCCTATAATTACTTACATCCACTTCATTTCAAATTTTCAACTTTGGTGGATAGTTGTCTCATTGGCAATCATACCACATCTCCTTATTTCTATATTTATACAGGAATTTAAATTGAGCTCTGATGTTAAGGTTGTAAAACTGTCACTACAGTCACCTTAACTGATTCACCAGCTAATAAAAAGATTAATGAGACCACAGAGCAAACATAAGGAAAGCAATATCTTCAAAATAATTTATAAATATTGAATATCTGCAATTTAAAATCAAACAGAAAACACCAGAGTGAATGGAGATGGGCCGAAAATCGAACTTTAATTTTCAAAATTAGGGTAGTTGGAATAAATAGGTCATGAAATCTTCACTGATTTGAGGAAAAAGAGGCTATGTGAAAAACCCATAGGAAATTGGATTGGAATTAAAGATGAAGAAAATACTCTAAAGCTCAGAAAGGAATTCTTACTTTAACTAGATTTATGGTTATCTCATTTGAAAGGTATAAAAAATTAGCAAGTATGAAGCTTTGTGATACAATATTTGTTTCTTCTGTAATTCAGAGTTTTTTTTTTGCAGGATATGATTATGCATATCTGCTATTTATGACACAAGTCAGAAAAAAATTACATTAAAAAACCTCAATATGTGAAATCATGTGCAATATCACAGATATATATAAATACCATAAAATAAAGGAAAATATTACACATCATGCGACAGATCTCTACATACAAAAATATTTCAATAAAAAAATTGGAAAAACAAAACGTAAATAAATGCTCCCTTCATCACTGTATAATAGTCTAAGATGTTGAATGAAAGAGTGTTTTTAGAATTGCAAACAGCACTGAGCATTGTTCTTTTGAACTATATATACCAGAATGAATAATCTTCAAAGAATGTTCTGATCTACACTACACCAGATAGTTGATTTATTTATATAAAAAGTGATGCCTTTCTGTGCTTTCGTAAAAGAACAATTTCGAGCAATGTTTCTTTGCATTTTTAGATATACTGTCTTTGCTTTTTTTCTAATGATTCTTCCTTTTTAAATAAAAATGACAAATGATCAATATCCAGGACCATTACTAGGGATTACAATGTACTAAAAGCTATACAAAATAAAATCGTATGGAAGTATTTCAATTTGTAACATCATGGTTCCCCCCTTTTTTCTGATTGAAAATTTAGGTTTTCTTACATGTTTCCATAGTGATATCATTTAAATCCTAACAACTCAATATGCTACAAAAATGACATATTAAAAATCACACTGTTTATATACTTGGTCAATTAGCATGATATAGATAGTCAATGAATCTTCTAATGTAAAGAACATAATGACTTGAGATGATAATACCGGTTCCCAGTCTTGAAAACTTATAGAATATGCTTTCCTTTACACTTAGGTAACCAGTTTCTAATACAACTACCACAATTTTAGTAACAATGTAGAAACAAATTCTGACATCCAGTGTTTTTAACATTTATGAAATATTACAAAAGCTTTTCAGGCCTTTTTTTAAAGAGTATTAGAATTCTGTAAAAGCAAAAGCCCTTAATTCACTCCTTAAGTTTAGTAATTAAATATATATCTTAGAATACCTTTGTTAATGTGGTTTAAATTGAGGAGTCAAATTGACATGTGATTTTAAATTTTACAGTCTTTATGAAATCGTCATGGTTTCTCGTCTTTGTTATGGGCCAACTTTCATAAAAAGTTAAATTTAAATTCCAATACATTATATAGTGGGGAAATTTAAAAGACACATCCTCATTTTGCAATATGACAGATTTGGAGTCAAATATATAAATACTGATTTTATCGTTTCTACAATATAAATACATATCAAACCTTGTAATTTGATCTTATCCTCTAATTTACTAAACCTACTATATACATTTATGATACATCCTTATAATAAATATTTTATAATAACTATGTACACTTTCTGTAAATAACAACAATGATTTTATTGCTGGAAATTAACATATATATTGCACAAATGTCAAGGGCGGGGAAAACAAACAAACAAACATAAATATGCACCAACAAGGTTTTAAATGCATTAAATGACCAAACAACTTTGTGTCAAATCATGAAGCTTTGGTTAAAATAAAAAGAACTTGTAGTCTATTATATGGTTCTTTCACAAGAAACCAAAACATCCATTGTTCTTACAACACATTAAATGAAAATTGCAACATAATTTGGTCCTTTAAAACATAATTAACCACCTAAAACATAATCCATTGAAAATCAACCAGTTATTGCATATTTTAAATTGCTACCAACCTTACTTTTAAGGTTTATGAGTCATTTATATGAAAGAAAAAGTAAAGAATTGCCTGACAAACAAAACAAAATAAAAGGACTTAAACAAAGAAAGGTCTTCTTTCTGTCTTAGACTTCTTACTTGGCTTCTGCCCACTTTTATCAGATGACTCACGAGTACTAGCATATTTAGATGAAGAAGTTGTATCTGTAGTTTTACGTGGATATGATTCAGTCGATATTTTTCTAACCGGTGCTTGTTTACCCTTCGCCTGCTGTTTTGTAGGTGGTTCTGAAGCTACATTACTCTGTGAAGCGGCTCTCCTCCTCCCACAAGTGGCACAAGAAATATGCCCTGTCCGACTGCTATGTGCTGCACTTGTTCCCATCACACACTGACTATGAGAATGTTTACGTTCAGGTTTTAGATCAGGTTTAGTAGATGTAACAGGTTGTTTAGGACTAGACGATGAAGAGGAAGAGCTTATTGATCGCTGAGCACCACTACTGACCGCCCTCGCAGCTATTGCAGCTTTGCCCATCACTATTCCTAATGGCCCTTTCTTTTTACGTTCTTTCACTACAGGCTTTGATTGGTCTGTTTTATTTTGAGTAGGCTTTGTTTTGACGGTTGGTACAGCAGACTGTACTGACATATCCATATGACTTTCATCACCATCTTTACTTGAAATATCAGATGATAATGACTGTGTATCTAGATCTAATGAAAAGGTCACATTTTTTTTCATATCAGTTTTTTTCACATTCATGGTATCAAACATTCCTGACCTTACTGTCATATCTAAATCCAAAGTATTCTTTTCATCTATTTCCATTTTAGTGCTTGCAGTTTCATCCATTTTATCAGATATATTCGCATGAATAGAAAGAAGAGGAGAAATACTCCCTTCTTTACTATCTAGTGAGGAAGAAGATCTTGTCCATGACCCAGACAAAGAACTACCCTGACCTGAGAATCTCCGTGACAATTTAGGAGATAAACTACCCATATGGCCATCTGCCTCTCTGGACTTATTCCCAATGTCAGTCAGTGAAGTCCTAAATAAAGGTGGAGATCGTTTAGCGGATGTATTTCGACGAAGTACAGGAGGTGATGAATTCCCAGCCTCTTTCTGAGCTTGCATTAAAGCATGCCGTTGAAGCAGTGGTGATGAAGGACAAGTGATTGTCAATGTGTTCAAGGGAGGTAAATCTGAAGGTTTTGGCTTTGTGGGAGCATTGTTATTTGAGTCTTCATCATCAGTTTTTACAACTTCAACCTGTGGTAAAATAACCTGCTTTTCCACAGCTAATGCATCTGTATCGGTTTGTGCAGTGGATTGAGATTTAAAATTCTCTATGGAGAATGTAGCTTTAGTAGCTTTTATCAATGCCTGGATTGTAGGGGTTTCTGTGGTAGAATCATGAGAAGCCATTGACAATGGATGGCTTTCTGACAAAGCATGAGTTGGGTTGGATTGTGTTGTTGTTTGGGCAAGTGTGGCAGCAAAGTTGTGTTGTGGTGGGTACTCTCTGATAGGACTACTTTCTATAACTGTAATTGTGGGAAGATTTATTTTCTTCTTTTCTAGTGTTAAAGCTTGTATGGTGGCAGGCTGTATCTTGAGTACTTGAGGTGGGGAACGTTTAATAAGTTCAGGCGGTCTAACAAAATGATTTCCATGATCGCTGTTCAATACCATACTACTTTCTCCTGAAAATAAGCGAAAAAAATATATTTAATTTTCTTATAACAATCTCTTCTTTATGATAATGTCTACTATTGTTTTTTTAATTATAATGCATAAAAGCAGAAAGAAAGTACAATAAAAATTTCTAATTTAAATGCAAAACAAGAATAGATGAAAAATGCAAGTGATGATGTTTTGCATAGACTGTAAGATTAACCCATTTAAGATGCTTGTTATAGAAGCATATGACAACACATATAACACTCTACTCAATATTAGAATCAAAAGCTCGGTTCACAACAAAATTAACAGGTTAACTTGCAGAGTGTATATCACTGAGTTAAGAAAAAAGGTTAAGGTGAAAATCTTTGGGTTTGAAGAAATAAATAAAGAATAAGATCAAAGCATGCAAGATGACCATAGTTACAACAACATTAGGAAAACCTGTGACTGTACAAGCTTTTAAATTTATTACTTTAAATGTAAAGATATTTAAAATAATAGTTGTCAAGGTAAACAACAATTTCTGTTAATATTGGTTTCTGTAATTTTTTGTATTAAAATTGTTTCAATGTCAAATTTCAGTTATTCAAACAATTATCTCCAACAACATAAACCATATTTCTAGAAAATACTGTATGAACTATGATTGACAATATAGCATAGAGTAAATCTTTCCTCAGTCATTATGTTTACTAGTTTTTGCTATTGAGAAGACACATCACCCTACCAAAGTGACAAACAAAATTACTATAAACAAAATAAGTTCTTCATTTGTAATTTTCTTTAAACTATGACAGGTATCAATAAATCATAATAAAATAAAATTTAATTGTATGTTGAGGTTCATATATATATATACAACAATTATCTGAAATAAATATTAAAACAGCTGTTGGTAACATTCACTAAACAGAATATTATAGATTATTACACGTCATCTACCATACCAGCCCAGATATCATCTAGAGACATTCAGATCAACTAAGGTAGTAGACAAGATCCATATATGTAGTTGAAGGATTATACTGAGATTGCTATCAAACAAAATGTGTCGCAATCTCTTCAATTTTAACTCAATTATTTCTCACTACTGCATGGAATTATATCACATTTACTTATACCGTTTTTTTTTAAATGTGTCTTAATATTCTAAAGGTCATAACTTCTCAAGATGGGCAAGAGTCCATGAAATAGAACTTAATGTAAGTCAAGGATCTAACTATCAGAGAAAATTGTTTGAGCTGCACCTGACATGGCTTATCAAACAAGACATTGCACATTTTTCGTTGTGTTGCATTATATGCCAATGATATGGCCATATCAGGGAGATGGAATGGTTCCTCAAAATCTTTTAACAATTACTTTTAAAACATGTATTCATTTACCTTGGTATATATATCATCAACCACCAGTTATTTGGTCCTAGATTACGCGCTATATATTCAAGTGCAGTTAAACCCATTCCAGTGAAAAAGCATTGTTTAAGCACAAATTTTAAAGTGAAGTACCGGTATATGTGTTAGGTGATACATATATAAGTATTTGTCCTATGTAATATTAAATGTGTAAAAAGTTCTAAAATAAATTGCCTTTTTATAAAGGATAATGAAAGACTGCAGTATTTTACATCTAATTTGTAAGATAAGTATTCATGTCAGCATGTTAAATAAACTTTCGGGTTACTAATGAAAACAAACAATTTTTTTACTATGACAGACTAGTTTGATGTGTACTGTCACTGTTAATAAAATAGGTTTGTTCTACATTGGCAAATCAAAATTAATGGCTAGCATAAGCTCTGATTCCTTTCCATATTTATCTAAACTTTAGGTCCTTTTCGTTTGATCAGCTCTTCAACGTTTGTATAAGTTGTTTTTTTATTCAATATTTAGGTCTTGAGCATCACTGAAGAGACAATTGTTGTCGAAATACAACAATTTAAACGTCTGGTGAAGTAAATTGGGTACTGCTAATGTTGTTACATGTAATACAGTTCATAATTCAGAACATTTTCTGAAATTAAAACATGTTAATAGTAAGGTATTATAATAAGATTGGCAATGTCATATGCTATACTGATATTGAATGTTTTATGAATGTTTAACCAACAACTGACCAGGTAACAACAATAAACACACCATGCATTAGTTTACCTTTCCCATCACCAGGGCAGCTTACCTGTAAGTATAACTTACTGTCAGTTATATAACCAGAATTATTCAGTCACTCAATCTTTAACAATATTATGAAAAATTTATGTGCATATAAATCAGTCTGAAAAGTGCGGTCAATCTATTAGTCATTAATGTGGATTCAAAAGAGCATATCAGATCTAGACTTTGTTAAATATCTATGATCAAGACATGCTTCTAAGCTAAATTGATGTTGCTCCTTTCAAATACTGATCTTTGAATAATATGAAATATCTGGTTGTATTTTAAAGATTCAGTGACTGTGTATTTAAACATGTCCTTATTTTCATACCCAACCCTAACTATATAACCATTAGAAATACAAATCAGATGATATCTAAAACCCAATATACTGGAATGTCTAGTTTACAAACAATATAAGCTGGTACTTCTCTGTGGAAGCAATTATATTCATGGATTCACACTTTGAATATTGGTAAAAATTACTAGAACATCATTTTGGTGACCCATGACATCTAAACAAAACTGGTACCCAACACAGAAAACTATTTTTTTCAAAGTTAGTTTGCCATTTTATATGCAGATTTAAAAAAAAAAGCTAAATACAGTATTTTGTATGCAAACTATTGTTCAATAACACTTATAACTCCAAACCAGTGAGAATACAGGGTTTTCACATATCATCAGCTTTCATTCATTTCACTGTAATCCAATACAAAAGCTGTGCTACAAACAAGTACCAGTAGTTCCTTTTCATGCCAGTACATGTATTTGAAATGTTTCCCCAAAAAATCTATAGGTCCAAAGTGAAGTTGTATTTGCTTAAAACTAAATTTAAAAAAAACATTTGTTTTAAATGTTTTCTTAGCAAAATAAAACAGAAAATGATACAATTTTAAAATATACTGAACTGGGCTAACATGAAAGGAACTATAGTGAGGGTGTATATGGAGGGAAGGTTGAAACTTACACTATAAGTACCCATAATACTCTAGTTGAACTGTAAAGAAGACAAGATGCCATGTCAGTAATATAATGCTAGACTATCAAACAGCAAAATCAAGTTTTAACTACATGTAAAAGCATTATGCTAAAACCAAAACAGTTCAAAACAACAACAAAAAACCACAAACATTAGTAACATAATCTACATGTATACACAATACTGGTTATTATTAATTCAAAACCACAAATGTCAATTATCAATGTGCAAACAAAACAGGAGGAAAGCACATACAATGCACAAATAAATATTACTGCAACCAGATATGTGCAACAAACAAAAAACAAAATTCAACTAAAAATTGGAGTTGTAATTTTTCTACACATTATGAAAAAGTTTGATGTTCATCTTCTTGACAAATTAATAACATATGCAATAATGTCTATGTGAAAACTGTCTCAACATACATGCAATTCTATTAAAAAAATATTCACAAATATTTGTCTTGCCCTTGAAACCTTTCTCCCCTGGTAATTTTTCAAAATGAGATAAGAACTGCATAGAATTCAAATATTCTGCTCATAACTTCATTGTATTCAAGGAAAAAGAAAAGATTTTCACAATGCAATATAACAGGTCGTGAAATATTCATGCAAACTGTGAATGTAATATATGAATACAGCAACAGAGGAAAGAGAAAGTTTACTTTCTGGTAAGTAATGACCCAAAGGTTAATATAAAGGTTTACCCAAAGGTTAATATATAGGTTTATCCAGTTAATATACAAGTTATCCAGAGATTATATAGGTCTACCCAAAGTTATGGTCTACCCAAAGTTAGTATCTAGGTTTACCAAAAGGTACAGCTTACCAAAAGTTAACATATAGGTTTACCCAAAGTTAATATATAGGTGTACCTAAAGTTAATATCTAGGTTAACCAAAGTTACGATTTACCCAAAGTAAATATATAGGTTTAGGGGAATTATGTTTTGTATTATAATCTGCCATCTGCAGATAGAGTGCAGTGACCAAGTGGCTACTTTATCACGATGATATGATGGATGATTTTCATAATTCCACTGATTTTTTTTCCTACCAAGACTGAATACTGTAAATTCTGAGATTTCTGTGTGAATTTATTATTGGGAATGTTTGGAATGTTCAACAATTGACAAAAATGCAACTTCAACTGTTGCAATTAATGAATTTTAGGAAATGTTGCATACAAAGTATGCATCAAAAGTTAGAATAGGTTTTTTTTTATTTTTGCAAAATCTATCCCGTCAAAATTTTTTGCAATAATAAATATATTTTTGCAAACATTTCTGAATTTGCAGTTTGCAGTATCATTGATAATCAGAAAATGTAATGATAAAGTAGCCACTTTAATTAGTTGTGATAGTTTCTCTACCTGTTAATCACACATCAGCCACAATGGTGTAAACAATATCTGGATCAGATCCTGTCGAAAGTTAGTCATAATTAATTCATTTGCTGTCTAATTTTCATTCATACAAGTTTTAAAAAAAATCAGACCTTTTGTGTATTTTTCGTTCAAAAAAATGTAATGGAATAATTTTAGTCATTTATATGATTGAAACAAGAAGCAAATGAAAAAATATCAAACTGAGTAATTATATTAAAACAAATGCAACCATGGCAATTTGTCACACAAGTGCATTACATCTCTTAATCTGATTAACATAAAAAACAAAACTACACTGTACTTATAACAATATTTGTTTAAAAGTCATTGCATACATATCACATTAATCTTTCTATAGACTATTTATTATATTCACAACTAAATCATTTTAATTTTTTTCTAATTCATGACAATTATGGATGTAGTACAGACTTTATACTTTCTATGAAAGCTCCTCTTATATGAACCAGGGGTTTCAAAACATTTTGTGGCCAGCTGGACATATTTTTATTGATTCCCTTTTACTGTTAAGTGCGGAAGTACTCAAAGCAGGTCCCATCAGGAGGTCCAACAACAAATGATTTTTGGGACTAAAAAGACTAATAAGAACTATTCTGTCAAATGACAGATGTCTTCATGGAATTTAACCAATAGGAACAATTTTGAAATATAGCAAGAACATAACCTCCAACCCATTAATGACATGACAACAAATACAAAAACTGAGGCAGAAAATCTATTTTTCAAAATAGATGTATAAATTTTTTTTTTTAACTTATTTTAGTAATCAAAATCTTTTTTGTTAATAAGATAAAGAAAATACACTCCATGCTACATGTAGCTATTGTCATTTCTACCAATATAGTTTATTACATAAATTAACAAAATAAGAGTACCGATACTGTGAATTCATTTATTTTGCAGGATACCAATTTTCTCTGACAGAGGAACAACTGCATTTTTATGGATACTTGATTTCTTTGTTTTGGATGTTGCATACAAGCCAATATCAAATTTGTACTTCATTGAACCCTTAAATTTGTGATTCACCTACACTTACAAAATCCAAGAATTTGTTACTCCACAATATAATGAATAAATAGTATACAAGAAAAAAAAGAGGAATTAATCATAACACACCAGATGGATGCATACCTTTAAATGCATTGGAATGTAACGCATGCTGTGAGTCATCAGGTAACATTGTATCAGGCAGATCCTCATCAGAATCTATATCACCATTCTCTTCCCCTGTGTCAGTAGTAAAAAGCAATCAGAACTACATAGCATGACCAGATTTTTTTTTAAATAACATTTGTTCAAATTCAAAAACTTCTCAATATATTGATTTTTTTGTAAATATCCACATGACCAAATGGGAAGTGTTTGATATGAATATAAATTTGAAAAATCTGATCATATCCAGAAAGTTTAGATAATTATTAAGATAATCATGCATAAAAGCATCTTATATTTTAAGAAATTGTTAAACAGTATTTAATATTATTTCATTCAAATAACAGTAACTATTACACTGGTAGTATAAAATGGAAATGTTGCAATACATTATGTTGAAAAACCACATACAAAGAGAAACAAGGAGACAGCAATAGTTCATATATTCTATATAAATGAGGTGTAATACACACAAGTTTACAATATATAACACAAATTGTAAAACAAGAAAATGCTACATAAAGAATGAAATTATTAAAATTGGTTGATGAAACCAGTGAACCTAATCCACCCTAGTAATTATTATCATTTTGTTTTGTTTTAATAACCCTAATAATCAGATACTCTCTCTAAATAAATTGAATGTTTTATCAAGCTTAATTAACATCCAATATGTAGCATATTCCTTTTAGTAGTAACATGCAAAACAAGGATACTAGTTATGTGCATATTAATTAAGACTCCACACACCATAAATAATTAATGCATAAAAAAACACTCAAGATACAATGTGCACAGTATACAATAACAATTACATACAACAAATATTTAGATTATGCATGCATAGGTATGTGCTCTATAAAAGGATTTTCAAATAAAACTTGATAAGTGTTAGTTGTTTCTGATAATTAGCCTAAATAAATCAATATACGGAAATAGTTTATTACAATTTTAAGCAAGGTGAGATGAAAGTGTCCTCTGACTTTCATCTTCCTTAACCCTAATGTTATTTTTTTAACAGTACCTAGATCAAATACAATCTAATTAAAATCTGTTCTCTCACTATGATCCACTAGATTAGTGTGTTGTAGCATGTAAGACCTCTCTTTTCTTAATCTAAGGCCAAATAACATGCCAAAAGTTGGCAGTAGAAGATTAAAATTGTGTTTAAACTTTCTGCATGACTTAAAAAACATCATTAGTTTCTCGTCTTCTAAAACAAAGATTTAATGTGTTTATACTAATTAAAGAATAACAGGTTTTCAAAACAAAATCCTATTAAAATGTTCAGTTTTAAAGGAAGCAGATTCGTCAAAACTCAGTAGATTCATTAAATGTCAATCTAATTTTTGTAGGTCTGGAATGCACTATTTAGTCATCTGGCACCCTATTACTATTTTAATGCCGAACTACAGAATTATTAAAAATGCATAAATTGAAAGTGCATTATGTGTCTTATAAATTACTTTCTATATCAAAAGTCAAAAGTGTAACTTGTGCTACAAGACTGTTAGTTGTGGCAGAGAAAAAGACTAGCCTATTACAAGACAAGATTTATTACACAACACATGATATTACCATCTGATAAAGGCACAATTTCTTTTTTATTACAATGAGCGCTCCCAGGTAATACAAAATCTGCATCAGATGTCTGAAATCATATATACTTATCGGTAAAAGACTTCATTTCATACAACATATGTTTCCCATTACTGACTACTAAAATCAATTAAAACATATATTAGTACTTTTTAGTACAAACAGGTACTGTATAAACTTTCAGTAAAATGTAGTAGTAATTAACACAAATCAACCAGCAGGTTAATAGTTTATACTGTAATTTTTTCATCACTTTAAATAATAAAATAAATTAAACAAAAAATAATTCCAAGATCCTTCTTTTTCAATCATATGCATAGTCATTATAACATCAATATATATATAATTATTGTATTTTTCTGGTTAATAATAAAACACAACATTGTGTCCTGACATTTATTTTCCATACAGTCAGTTAACGGGATAATACACTAAAACTAGAAAAGACATTTTCTTGTTAGGGCAAAATAAAACAAAAACACTAGTACTTTTTATTTTTTTACTAAAATTACCTTCAATTTACAAGAGTTATCTACAATTGTAGCAAGTATATAACAAAGCTAACAACTTTTGATTATCAAAATTCTTTATAATTTTCACACAATAAAAGCGCAATTTCAGTATCAGTATCCAAAATATAAAATATAAATACTTAGTTTTTATTCTCAAGGAAAGTCCAACTTATCATTGCCTGTATCTATTTTTATTCTAGTAAATTTTTATTGATGAAACCAAATGATTGATAATGCTTTTTTAGTTTATATAGTAAAAAATAAAATAACAAGAATGTGTCCATAGTACACGGATGCCCCACTCGCACTATCATTTTCTATGTTCAGTGGACCATGAAATTGGGGTCAAAACTCTCATTTGGCATTAAAATTAGAAAGACCATATCATAGGGAACATGTGTATTAAGTTTCAAGTTGATTGGACTTCAACTTCAGCAAAAACTACCTTGACCAAAAACTTTAACCTGAAGCGGGACAGACGGACGGACAGACGAACGAACGGACACACAGACTGAATAAACTGCTTCACCGAGCCCTGCTGGATACGACCGCAGAGGTCAAACCCTGAACAGTTGGGGCAAAAATGGACACAATATTCAAGCTTGATACAGGTCTGAATTTGGTTTGTAATTAAATGTTTGACACGTTATAGGTTTCTGACACAGAATAAATGTAGTCAAAGAACTTGAAATTGGTTATATGATTTGAATTTATAATCAATTGAAGATTTCTTGCTGTTGTGCAATACACTGTGCTGTTGTGCAATACTTAGTAAATATGTTTTCAGACTATAAACAAAGAATTAGCAAAATGAATTGTGACCCCCTTTTTTTTTTTAGATTGATAATTTCTTAAATCTGGAGGAAAAAAAAATTTTTTTTTTGTTACCCCCCCCCCCCCCCCCCCCTAAAAAAAAATAATGTTTGAAGAAATTTTCTTTCCGTAAAATGTGGTACAATTTAAGAGACATCCATACACTTAAACACAAGTTATTGTCTGAAAACTAGAAAATTGCTTTTTTTTGGCTCCTAATTCCTGAATGGTTTGGGCAATTACCCCCAAAATGAATCTCAACCTTCTACTTGTGGTATTGAACCTTGTGGTACAATTTCAGAGCAATCAAAATACTTATACACAAGTTGTTGTCCTGAAACTAGAAAAATGCTTGTTTTGGGCCCATTTTTTGGCCCCTAGGTCCTAAACAGTTGGGACCATCACCCCCCCCCCCCCTCCAACCCAACCCACCCAAAAAAAAAATAAAAATCCCAACCTTCCTTTTGTGGTATTGAACCTTTTGATTAAATTTCATAGAGATCCATATACTTAAAGTTATTGTCCCGAAACCAAATGTCTTCGGACGACAATGACGACGTGATAGCATTATACGAACGCAATTTTTTTGCGGTCGTATAAAAACATAATGCCCTAAGGTGAGGCATAAAAATACAAGTATTAATTAAATACCAGATTCTGAGATTCATTTTTCTTATCAGTAAAAATACTATGATATAAACAAAATTTACAGAATTCACTAACATTTATTTTGTTAAACAAAATTGTGTCCAGTTTAATTTTTCTTTGTAAAATGCTTAAATATGAAATATCTCTTGTAAAAAAAAAAGGATGAAAGAATTAAGTAATAACAGCTTATTAATAATAACAACAAAACTCATTCAATAAGCTACTATCCAAAAACTTGCAAACAGTGAATACAATGTTTTTTATAAGACAATACCATTATCAATACCCTGCTATTTCACATATAATGTGACTTCTCAATATTCTTAAACACCCAGTATCAGCTGTTTTTTTTATTTATTTGTTTATTTTGAGAGCATTTAAAATGACAAGTCACATGACAGTAGGTAATTGATAGTTATAAGCAAAGAAATAACTAAAACTCATGAGTGAAAAAAATCAGGAAAGAAGGGGATTAACGAAAAGCAACAAAAGCAGTATAATTTGTTATTCCCTTTCATAATAAATATCATGAGGCCCTCCTTCCAACTCTGGAATATTTAGATTAAGAAAAAACAAATATTGAGTAATAAGTATGTCAACTGTATCAAAAAGAAACTAAATACCATCTTTACTAATCATTTCTGATTGATTGTTGCTTATTTAACATCAAAATAATTTTGCGTGCATCCTCAAAATAAAAACTTAGCTTAGCTAACAGATTGTTGGTAGCCCTTACTAAAGTTTTTAATTCCTTCAGCGTTTAAACTTACATAATTACACAAAATGACATCTATTAGATATAAAAGTAATAATATAAAATATACAGCTTTTGTTAGCCAAACACAAAAAAATGCCAAATTCAGTGAATTTAAATTTTTCCCTGGAAAAATAGGAAAACCTGCCCTGTTTGAAATAAAAACCTGGAACTAAAATTTTGAAAGATATGTTCTAATATCTTAGATCTTTAGATAAAAGAAAATGAAACAATTGAAGTGATCTTGAAACCATCAACTGTGCTCAGTTTCAATTTCAAGTGTTACATTTATCTTCTAAGTAGACATAGAAGCCATTTATATCAGAAAAGGACAGATAAAAATATTTTCAGGAGCTTAAAATGAATAAGGAAGATCTATAATGTAAAACATTAAAAGATGCACAATTATCTATGCTGGCCGTTTCTTGTTTCAATGATCCAACCAATGATTGAGTAAAGAAAGCAGTTGGTTTCATCTTCATTTGACCTTGAACTATATACTGACCTTTGATTGCACAGAATTATCATTGTCTCCCTGTACTAACTGATCTACTGTTTTCTCTGCAGATAAGCTGAAAAAAATAATGGATATTTTTTTAATTTTCCTATTTGACAGCAATCATAAATGTATAGGTTTTTAAAAACCTGTAACAAGAGTTACCTGAACATTTAAAAGTTCTACTAACCTCATACAGTTCTGAGATGGTGGGCTATTATAGATACAGTCTTTTAATGGATGAAAAACTAGATCTTATTGCTGAAGTCATTACATACAGGTTAATGTTTCATAAAATTAACATCTAATTCTGTCCTAAATGCAGGATTACTAATACTGTGGATTCATAGATCTTATTACTATTTGGAAATCTGTGTCACTTGACCCAAGAAATTCCATACAATTGAACTATTGATGTCATACAACAATCACTTTTCTTTTGTGGAGTCAGAAATTTATTATTTTTTAACGAGTGTGATGTCCAGTAATAGTGGACATATAGCGATAAGGTGTTTTAATATTTGTGGGCTTCTTATTTTTTTGTGGTACTTTCTAAGTATAAGTAAACCATGAATATTAATGCTCAACAAAATACAAGTTTCCTATAGACTTGAATGCAGAATTTGAGACAACCATGAAATTAAGTATCCACAAAAGTGGAATTTGTTCTCAATACAACAAAACTACTACACATGATAATAAATTAATCTACAGTACACTTTATAGATATAAATTGGGAACAAATACTGTTACTATTTCAATTTGATACTTTAATAATAAAATGTAAGTTGTGAATGTACTTTTATCTTATATGTATTGATTCAAATCTGCCTTTGAGAAAATGCAACTTTTCAAATTTTGTGAATAATTTCTATTTTTAATGATACAGAAATTTCATACTACTTATGCTGCGTTCACACGTAATTCGAATTCGATTCGCATTAACTGATTTGAATTAGTTAAATTCGCATTCGAATTGTTTTACGTCCAAACGTTAATTCCAATTCGAATTGCAATACGCGTCAAATTTGCTTTATTGTCCGACTGACATTAACTTTTAATTCGTATCAACAAAAACGGATTTCTAATGCGATTTGGTTAATGCGAATTAGCCAATTCGAATCAATTCGAGTTAAAAAGGAAGAGTGTGTGAACACTATTAGCGAATTCGATTTGCATTCGATTCGAATTCAATTCGAATTAAATGTACGTGTGAACTAGGCATTAACTTTTAAATTTAATATGTCTCTGATTTTCTTTTCCCAACAAAATGTGTGAATCTTTCAAGTAAAAGTCGTGAAGCCTGCGATTTCCAAACAGCATATAAAGCAGAAATGTTAGTATTTTGATATTGGAAGCCTCCAATAAAGGTACAATGATTACATATATTTACTTACATATTAGGACTGGATGCTGCTTTTACATCATCTATAAATACACAATAGTCATTTATTCTAAGTCATTTCTTTATATTAATGAAAGCTTTAATGTTTAAAAGAAAGCTGATAGAAATTCACTAATCTTGACACTTTGATAAAAAAAATTATCATCAAAATGTCATATTCAGTCGTGTATAGTATGCATTTGTGTATAAAACGCACCCCTTTTCATCTTATCTCCCAAAATGATGAAAAAAGTTTGGTTCACTGTAAAAAATCAATATTTTTTTCGTATGCATTGCATACTAGTAAAAATAATATTTCACTTGATTTAAAATATAAATATCAGGCTTTTCCTCCTTTTGGCTTTCAATGTTCCTCATAAATGTATAATCCTCAAAGGCATCCAATAATTACTGCATAGTGCAAACTTTTGCATTGCTTTAGTTCTGTAATTCAGGTTTACATCATGTATATTTGATGTTTATTTCTATATGTTTGTAGCATGCAAGTAATAACATAATATTTGTTTTCATCCATTTGTTTGTCTATTATTGCATTAAATCAACTGGAGTTTCTTTCCACAATTTAATTATTTTTCCCCCATTTCAAGGCAGTGGACTATTAGTACTTTGCCTCATTCACACCATGATGTAACCTTTATTTCAGTCTACTTGAGAGACTACCATAACTTTTGTAATGACTATTTTTGTACTTGTGTCAGGTTCTGGTTGTGATTTAAGACTACCCTACCTTTTGTAATGACTATTTTTGTAATAGAGTGATGTTTTGCTTTCCATTTTAAAGACTAGCATACCTTTTGTAATGACTATTTTTGAACTAGAGTCAGGTTTTGGTTGTGATTTAAGACTAACCTACCTTTTGTAATGACTATTTTTGTACTAGTGTCAGGTTTTGGTTGTGATTTAAGACTACCCTACCTTTTGTAATGACTATTTTTGTAATGGAGTGATGTTTTGATTTCCATTTTAAAGACTAGCATACTTTTTGTAATGACTATTTTTGAACTAGAGTCAGGTTTTGGTTGTGATTTTAGACTTACCTACCTTTTGTAATGACTATTTTTGTACTAGTGTCAGGTTTTGGTTGTGATTTAAGACTACCCTACCTTTTGTAATGACTATTTTTGTAATGGAGTGATGTTTTGCTTTCCATTTTAAAGACCAGCATACCTTTTGTAATGACTATTTTTGAACTAGAGTCAGGTTTTGGTTGTGATTTAAGACTAACCTACCTTTTGTAATGACTATTTTTGTACTAGTATCAGGTTTTGGTTGTGATTTAAGACTACCCTACCTTTTGTAATAGTGTCTGGTTTTGGTTGTGATTTAAGACTACCCTACCTTTTGTAATGACCATTTTTGTACTAGGGTCAGGTTTTGGTTGTGATTCAAGACTAACCTAACTTTTGTAATGACTATTTTTGTACAAGTGTCAGGTTTTGGTTGTGATTTAAGACTAATCTACCTTTTGTAATGACTATTTTTGTACTAGTGTCAGGTTTTGGTTGTGATTTAAGACTACCCTACCTTTTGTAATGACTATTTTTGTACAAGTGTCAGATTTTGGTTGTGATTTAAGACTACCCAAACTTTTGTAATGACTATTTTTGTACTAGTGTCAGGTTTTGGTTGCGATTTAAGACTAACTTACCTTTTGTAATGACTTTTTTTGTAATAGTGTCTGGTTTTGGTTGTGATTTAAGACTACCCTACCTTTTGTTATGACTATTTTTGTACTTGTGTCAGGTTCTGGTTGTGATTTAAGACTAACTTACCTTTTGTAATGACTATTTTTGTACTAGTGTCAGGTTCTGGTTGTGATTTAAGACAAACTTACCTTTTGTAATGACTATTTTTGTATTAGTGTCAGGTTCTGGTTGTGATTTAAGACTTACTTACCTTTTGTAATGACTATTTTTGTACTAGTGTCAGGTTTTGGTTGTGATTAAAGACTAACCTACCTTTTGTAATGACTATTTTAGTACTAGTGTCAGGTTTTGGTTGTGATTTAAGACTAACCTACCTTTTGTAATGACTATTTTTGTACTAGAGTCAGGTTTTGGTTGTGATTTAAGACTAACCTACCTTTTGTAATGACTATTTTAGTACTAGTGTCAGGTTTTGGTTGTGACTTTTCTGTTATTGGTTCTATTGGTGTTTCACCTGGTATCAACTCATACTCAGTTTCTGGTCCAAAAATTAACTGTAACAGAATAATTGTATCATTCAAATTCATCCTTTCGTCCTGTCAATTTTCTACTATATAATGGCCTTGATTATGAATAGTGTCAATATCTGATTTTCTTTGAATCCTGTTACTGTATCTACTATAATATCATATCATTTTTATGAGGATAGAAAATATTGTAGCATGAAAAATTAAAGAAAGTCTTATATTCATGAACTCAAGATTTCAAAAAAAAATCTGCAGATACTAACCCTAAGTTATAAGTGTTATACTTCATTTGAAACACGAGAACAAGCAGACTTGTGATTTTGTATTAAGAAAACAATAAAGAAAACATAGAAACTTGTCATCAGGACTCACTGCTATTTCAAAATGTTTTTAATATTGCCTTCTATATATTAACTCTACAAGTAATACAAGCGTTGTATAGCGTGCCGCTAAATTATAACGTCATTATCGTTGACTTACTTCCTTTACCTTTCTCAATACGTTGTCTCTTTGACACATTCCCCATTTCCATTCTCAATTTTATCAAACTAACAAGATGTCTGTTTTTAAGTTCATGCCATTATACAATATCTTTTCCCAAGCTACATCTATGGTCTATGTATCAACCATCAAGGAAAGTTTTAGTAGCTATAGTATATTAAGAAACCGTCTTTTCTTTCACTTGTTTGGATAAACATAATGTTACCATTGTAAGAGGTGACTTCTTTTTAACAGCTAACGTGTATCCAGAATACAAGCCCCTTTGAAATCTAATAGCACTGTAAAATAGCAGTGCTCTTCCTCAAATAACTATTGTCTTATATACTGTAAATTCAGAAATTATTGCGTGCATTCATTATTGCGATTTTGTCATTTTTGACTAAAATGCGATTTTAATTTTTGCGATATTGAGAAAAATTGTGTTTAATTCATATAAAAAATTTCAAAATGCGAGTTTAAATTATTGCGATTATAACCCTGTCGCATTTTTCGCAATAATAAAAACATCGCAATAATTTCTGAATTTACAGTAATAGTTTTCTTACTTGTGCATTTGTTATAAGTAATTCTACAGTTCTGGTTTGATGTGGGGTATCTACCAAAGAGGCTAAGGATGCTGTGCCTTCCCTGAAAATATAAACATACTTCTGTTAACACTTGCTACTTGTATGGTTCTATCTAAACATTTTATTGGCTACACAGCATCTTAAGTACACAATATATTAAGTACTACAAACAACAAGTTATACGGCACATTGATTGTGATAATTCAGGTTTATTGCAATATTGATGACCATTGTCCACTTACCAGAGTCTAATACATGTATTAATTATATTGCAGGCAATCTGAATGTCTATGGGCATGAAATGTAGAGAACTTTAACCATAAGGAATAAAATATGTATTTTGTTATGTAAATCTGTAAAAAATATGTTGTTGGTATACAAATGAATGTAGTTACTGAAATAACTGATCCAGCATATTATCCACTTTATAATAAGGGTATAATAACATTGGATCAGGTAAAAGCCAAATAATCTTCCGTATATAACAGTTTTGATCTAACTGTAAATTTAGAGTACTGTAAATTCAATAAACAGCTGCGCCATGAGCGCATGATACGCTCGTCGCATTTTTTATGAATAAAGTTCAATAACTTCTCAATGTCATATCAGAAATTTGTGAAAACTAAAGGGAGGTTATCTTAATTGATATAAACCAGTCACCAAAGTTTAATGAAAACTGCTCAAAGCACTTTAAAGGTATTGTCTGAAAACTAGAAAATCACACCCTTTTTTATGAATAAAATCCCGTAACTCGGAAGTGCAAAATCTAAAATTTATAAAAATTGAAAGGGAGCTTACATCAATAGATATAAACAATTCTCGAAAGTTTCATGAGAACTGCTGAAAGCATTTTTGAGTTATTGTCTGAAAACTGGAAAATCCCCCAATTTTTAATGAATAAAACTCCATAACTCAGAAACGTAAAATTAAAATTTTATAAAAAATGTAAGGGAGCTCACATCAATAGATATGAACAATTAACCAAAGTTTTATGCAAATTGGTTGAAGCGTTTTTGAGTTAATGTCCGACATGTTGACGACGGATGGACGGACAACAGTATACCATAATACGTCCCGTAAACGGACGTATAAAAATGTTTGTGTGCACTTATTGTTGTGGTTTTTTAACAATAGACAATAAAATGCTCCGCAGGGTGCCGCTTGATACGACCGCAGAGGTCGAACCCTGAACAGTTGGGGCAAGTATGGACACAACATTCAAGCTTGATACAGCTCTGAATTTGGATTGTGCTTAAATATTTGACACAGCATAGGTTACTGACACAGAATGAATGTGGTCTAAGAACTTAAAAATTTTAAATTGGACATTCACCTATTATGGTCCAATATCCAAAATCTAAATACATGGTTAGATTCAGCATATCAAAGAACCCCAAGAATTCAATTTATGATGAAATCAAACAAAGTTTAATTTTGGACCCTTTTGACCTCAATGTGGACAAAGTTGATAACGGGGCCCAAAAATCAAAAATCTAAATACATAGTTAGATTCAGCATATCAAAGTACCCCATATATTCAATTTTTATTGAAATCAAACAAAGTTTAATTTTGGACCCCGATTTGGACCAACTTGAAAACTGGGCCCATAATCAAAATCTTAATACATGTTTAGATTCAGCATATCAAAGAACCCTAAGAATTCAATTTTTGTTAAAATCAAACTAAGTTTAATTTTGGACCCTTTGGACCTCAATGTGGACCAATTTAAAAACGGGGCCCAAAATCCAAAAACTTAATTCACAGTTAGATTCTGCATATTAAAGAACCCCAAGAATTCAAGAATAAAACCCCATTGAAATTGGTCAAGAAATAAGCAATTTATACGAAGTATCTTCTTTTGCACAATACTGTGCAATTGAATATTTCTTGCTATTGCGCAATACTGTACAACTGACAATTTCTTGCTATTGCGCAGACTGTGCTATTGGATATTTCTTGCAATTGGGCAATACTGTGCAATTGAAGATTTCTTGCTATTGCGCAATACTGTGCAATTGAAGATTTTCCTTTTTTTTCTTTTTTTTATTGTGCAATACTGTGCAATTGAAAGTTTCTTGCTATTGCACAATACTTATTATATAATAATTTACACATCCTGTTTGGTGTGTATCTCCTACCATATCATTATTATTTGCTTTTAAATATAAATCAGAAATAACCAACTTAAAATGGAAAATTTAAAAAGAAAAAAAAAAGGAAAAAAAGAAAAATAAAATGCTCCGCTGGGGCGCAGCTTGATACGACCGCAGAGGTCGAACCCTGAACAGTTGGGGCAAGTATGGACACAACATTCAAGCTTGATACAGCACTGAATTTGGATTGTAATTAAATATTTGACACAGCATAGGTTTCTCACACAGAATGAAAGTAGTCTAAGAACTTAAATTTTTTTAATTTACCTATTCAAACCATATCATTATTATTTGCTTTTATATATAAATCAGAAATAACCAATTTAAAATGGAAAATTTTAAAGAAAAAAAAGGAAAAAAAAATCCCCCCCCCCAAATTTTTTGAAACCCCCTTATGATTCATCACCCCCAAACTCAATCCCAGCCTTCCCTTTGTGGTATGGTACCTTGCAGTACAATTTGAGAGAGATCCATACACTTGAACACAAATTATTGTCTGGAAACTAGAAAAATGCTTGGGTTTTTTGCACCTTTTTGGCCCCAAATTCCTGAAAGTTTAGGGCAATTACCCCCAAACTCAAACCAAGCTTTCCCTTTGTGATATGGAACCTTGCAGTACAATGTCATAAAGATCCATACACTTACACACAAGTTATTGTCATGAAACTAGAAAAATGCTTGTTTTTTTGCCCCTTTATGGCCCCTAATTCCTAACATTTTGAGACAATTACCCCCAAAAACAATCCCAGCCTTTCCTTTGTGGTATGGTACCTTGCAGTACAATTTCAGAGAGATCCATACACTTGAACACAAGTTATTGTCTGGAAACTAGAAAAATGCTTATTTTTGGCCCCTTATTCCTAAACGTTTTGGGCAAGTACCCCCAAACTCAATTCCAGCTTTCCCTTTGTGATATGGAACCTTGTAGTACAATTTCATAAATATCCATACACTTACACACAAGTTATTGTCATGAAACTAGAAAAATGCTTGTTTTTTGCCCCCTAATTCCTAAAATCAATCCCAGCATTCAAACCCTCAATCAGCATCATTTAACAGTAATATCTAAAAATGGAAATTACATAATAAAGGTATTAAAATAGAAAATGACATCATAGTCATGGCTAAAAATAAACAAAATCCTTAATCAGCAACATTTTACAGTAATATCTAAAAATAAAATTCCTTTGTAACCATAAAAGCCCATTTAAATACATCATGACAGATATTAAAATAGAAAATGACATCATTATAAGTCATGGCTAAACATAGCAAAAACCTTAATCAGCATCATTTAACAGTAATATCTAAAAATAAAAATTTCTTTGCAACCATAAAAGTAAAATAGAAAATGACATCATAATCATAGCTAAAAATAAACAAAAATTTTTTTTATTACCAAATTTTAAATGGAGTTTATTAAACTAAAACAATAAATTTGCAACCATTAAACCCCATTTAAACACATCATAAAAGTATTAAATAATTCAACTACATCATAAGGCTATAAAAATAGAAAATGACTTCAAAGTCAAGGCTAAAGGTAAACAAAAAACCTTCATCAGCAAAATTTTATATTGGCAAATTTCCAATGAAGTTTATTATACTAAAATTGTTGGCAAATTTCCAATGCATTTATTAACAATAAAGTTATTGGCAAATTTCCAATTTACATAATTTAAAAGCAGTGTAAGTGAGATATTTAAATGAGTTTGAATTACCAACCTTACACTGCTTTTAAATAATGTTTTGTACTTATTTGTCTATTAACCTGGAAACCCTTGTTTTTTCACCTTTTTTTCCCTTATTATTTAAAGGTTTGAGCCATAACCCTACCCCAAAGCCAATTCTTAAATTCCAATGTAACCTAAATTTACAATATACATAACTTCAATTTAAGTTTTTGATAAAATCAAACCACATCATTATTATTTGCTTTTATATCTAAATCAGAAATAATTAACCAACTTTAAGTGGAAAATTTTCACACATCACGCCCCCCCAAACTCAATCCCAGCCTTCAGTTTGTGGTATGGTACCTTGAAGTACAATTTCACAGAGATCCAATTACTTAAACACAATTAATTGTTGGAAACTAAAAAAAAATGCTTATTTTTAACCCCTTTTTTAGCCCCTTATTCCTAAACATTTGAGCAATTATCCCCCAAACTCAATTCCAACTTTCTCTTTGTGATCAGAATTAACCAACTTAAAATGGAAAATTTTAAAGAAAAAAAAAAGGAAAAAAAATCCCCCCCCCCCCCAAAATTTTTTGACCCACTTCCCTTTGTGGTATGGTACCTTTAAGTACAATTTCAGAGAAATCCATACACTTGAACACAAGTTAATGTCTGGAAACTAAAAAAATGCTTATTTTTGCCCCCTTTTTTGGCCACTTATTAATAAATGTTTTGGGCAAACATTTTACAATAATATTTTAAACTGAAATTAATTTGTAACCTTAAAATTAAATAGAAAATGACATCATAGTCATAGCTAAAAATAAACAAACTATTGGTAAATTTCCAATGGAGTTTATTATATTAAAACAATAAATTTGCAACCATAAAAGCACATTAAAATACATCATAAAAGTATTAAAAAAAATTTAACTACATCATAAGGCTATTAAAATAGAAAATGACATCATAGTCAGACTAAAGGTAAACAAAAAACCTTCATCAGCAAAATTTTATATTGGCAAATTTCCAATGAAGTTTATTATACTAAAATAATTGGCAAATTTCCAATTTACATAATTCAAACATAGTGCAGGTGAGATATTTAAATGAGTTTGAATTACCAACCTTACACTGCTTTTAAATAATGTTCTTTACTCAATTAATTGTCTATTAAAATGGAAACCCTAGTTTTTTAACCTTTTTTCCCCTTATTCCTTAAACGAAA